AACAACCTCAAGAATAGGAGGAGGAGGAAGAGGAAAGGGAGGCTAAACAGGAGCGGAGAGAGAGAGGGGGGGGGGGGGGGGGGGGGGGGAAGGGGAGGGCAATGGGGTAAGAGAAGTTGCCAGCACCACCGCCGAATCACTGGTTACGTCACTCCATCGCCTCGGCCTTTGGTGCTCCGGCCAATTTGAATCTACAACACCAATGTCCTCCTCTCCCTCGTTGGTCTCTGCCCCTTTCCTTTCCCTTCTCACAGGCTCATCGGTGATCGGGGGATTCCATTGTTCTTCTACTCGATTCTTCTTCGTGCTCAACCAGTGCGTGGGTTAGCTAAGACACCTCTTCAACTCAGCTCAGAACATGCGTTGCAAGACCGCAGGCTGCACTCTAGACGCAGGGCCCGAGAGACTGCTATGATGGCCGCGACAAAGATCACCATCGACCGCCGGGGCCTCTTACGATAGGAAGTCCAGCCTCAGCCACAGCCTAGTGAGCCTCAGCAACGTAACGTGGTCTCGACGTGTTCTGACAGATGAGAAGGGGTCCTGAGGAAGCCCAGAACTGCTTATCAGCGTGTCAGGCCTGTCGCTTTGACTTTCCCATCTCACCTCTTGGAGTCTTGGAGAAACGACCAGTGAGCCCAGCCGGCAGGGATCAGCTCAGGTTGACCATCTACAGGCCCAACGTTCCCGCCGCTCCTCCATTCGTTGACAGTGGTGCCGGAAACATTTTACGACACCCCCTGCAATTGGCTTGAATGCTGCCCATCTATTCCGAGTCCAGAACGAGGTGGACCTTGGGTGCACCAGTGTCCACCATCTCCTGGCGCAATGTGCATATCCTCTGGCCATCACCGGAAACCTTTCCCGGTCAAATCCGTGGCGCGATGGGTTGTGCTGGACGGTGGTGGTGGTGGTGGTGGTGGTGGTGGTGGTTGCGCTCTCCAACAAACAACGAACAATGGCCTGTTCGCCTGAGAACTGCAGTGCTTGGATCCTTTTTTCGATGACGCTAAAATTGATCCGTTTTCAAAACCCGCACATCTCGCCTTTGAAATCCCACGACTTGACTTGAGGCGAACAGAAGTGTCCACTACTGTCGAACCACCGAGTCTTTGCTGCTGTAATGGTCACAGGGGACCTTCTCGGCATTTCTTCATAAAGGGGATCTGCGTCTAGAATTATCCTTTGTCGTCTTCTTCCTCTTTTTATGTTGGTCCCCTTCGCGGATTAAGCTGGCCCAGGCTTCTCTGTGGCTGTAAGTGTTGGCTTGGGGCTGTTTGTCCCTGTCCGGAACACGACCCAGGGAGGCACCATGCCGGATCCAATGGACGTTACCGTCGGCCCGTCGCAGGGCCAGCGTCGGCCGGGAAGTTCTCCTCCCAAGCAACGCCCGTCGAGGAAGACCAACGTCGCCAAAGTGCGAACTTCACACGCCTGCGATCGCTGTCGCTTGATGCGGACAAAGTGTTCGGGGGGTGACCGATGTTCCAAATGTCTCAAAGACGGAGCAGCCTGCGTCTATGGTGATCGCAAACGGGAACGCAACAAAAAGTATTGATCGTGTGATTTCCCCAGTGCATGCCGCTGACGGTGAACAGAGATCTGGCCGAAAGTCTCGATCGCATCAGCCTCCTGGAAGAAGAGAATAGTCAGTTGGTCAGTGCACTTCGCTCAGTGACTGAGCAGCCAGATTTCCGCCCAGAGGAGAACGCCCGTATCTTGCAGCTCCTGACAAAGGTAACTATTCGTGCATCACACACTTTCCGATCTCGCTTGACGCCTAACAAAGTCGGCAGTACTCAGAGCAAGACGAAGAAGAAGAGGAGGAGGAGGTAGAGGAGCCTCCTGGGGGGCCGCTGAGCAGTCATTCGCAGAGTCGAGCCACGCCCTCTGCTTCCCAACTTCCATCATCCGGGTCGAGCCAAGCTCGGCCACGGGTAGGCGACATGCGTGGCGAGGGCAAGGCCAGATCCGACGCGGGCTCTCCTCATAGACAGGGCGAGCTGAACCATATCGTGACTCTGGATCTTGGGGGAGGCGCCTCGGGCTTTGTTGGAAAGATGTCGGAGATCTCTTGGATTCAACGTGGATTCGAGACTGTCCGGGGACACACTGCCCCCAACCACGGTCTGCTGCATGCAGCAGAAATGGACGAAGATCCCGTCACAACCACAGATTTCATCTATTTCATGGACGACATTAACGTATTGTCCGTGGATGAGGATTACGTGGATCAGTATCACTGGCCGAACGATGACTCTCTGGTGATTCTGTCGGAAGCCTTCTTTCACTGTATGCAGGGCGCATTTCATTTTGTCCTCCGTGAGGAATTTCTCCAACGGGCAAACTCTTTCTCAGGCAAGGGGACGGCCCCGTCGTGGAGAAACCGGCGATGGTTGGCGCTGGCAAATCTTGTGTGGGCTATCGGGGCGAAGTGGCTCAAAATTACCCAGCTCGCCGACGGGGACTCTAACGGAGAGCATCTCACTTATTTCGCAAGGGCACGGGCGTTGGGACTTGATCACAGAGTCATGTTCGACCATCCTGACATCGAGCGTGTCCAAGGCATTGGGCTTTTAGCTTTCTACCTTCTGGTCAATGGATCCATTACGCGGTACGTCGTTATCACTTGGATGGTCTCGCGTCTCCTAATCATTACAACAGAGCCTGGAATACGCTGGGCCATGCGACCCGGCACGCCACGGCACTGGGCCTGCATTTGAAAATCACAGATCCGGCCGTGAGCGAACTGGACAAAGTACGGCGAGCCCGCACGTGGTATTCACTCTACAGCCTCGAGATCTTGATTGCTGAGATCACAGGCCGGCCCAAATCCATATTCTTGACGGATGTGACGATACCCATCGATCTTTTCTATTCAGTTCCCAAAGAGATGCAGCAATTCTCTGCCCAGATCGACAACTTTCGCTCGCCTGATGCCTCGAGAAAGATCTGGCTCGACTACTTGAATCGTGGCCGCAATGTATCCCAAATGACCGGGGGCGTGGTGCCTTGGAAAAGTTTTGCATCAGTAGGACGAGGCGCCCCCACTTCATACTTGCCTCAACGACTATATCTCTGTCGACTCAGCGACAAGATTGCGTCGCAAATGTACACCGGGACGTCCGAAGATTCGTGGTTCCAGATTCAACGCAAGATCGGCAATTTGCAGTCGGAGCTGAGAGCCTGGGCGGACCAGCTCCCGCCAGAGTTGGCTCTTCAGGGCGAGGAATCGGCGGACATAGATCCTCGAAGCAAGATCGAGCTAAGGCTGTACTACCACAGCGTGGAGATGATCCTCCACCGTCCATGCCTGTGCGAGGTGATTATCGAGGACGAATCGAGCCGGTCGAAAGAATTCAACCGAAGCTCGGCGCGAGCCTGCGTCCACGCGGCCATGTCCATGTTGTCACTCATGCCCGACTATCCCACGGCTCACGAAGCGTATCAGCTGCTTCCGTGGTGGGCCCTCCTCCACTTCGTGGCGCAAGCAGCGGCTGTGTTGTTGTTGGAGCTCGCCCTCGACGCGCGACACTTCCCAGACGAGATACCCCAGGTGGTGATGTACTTGCGCAAGGCCATGTCGTACCTCTGGTGCATGAGCGAAGGCTCGTTGTCCTGTCACCGCGCATGGAGGATATTCCGGCAGCTGCTGACCGAGGTGCTGGAGCGGCACGAGGAGTTGGACATGATGGATGTCCCTGCCGAGGCGCCGCCTCCGCCTAGGTGGAATGACAAGCTCGAAGAGTTGACAGTCAAGGCTTTCGCGTCTAGGAAACATGGGATTTCTCCCCCTATGCCGCACTAGGAGAAGGAAAGGAGAGGAGGAAGCACTGGCCCTGCGCAACACAATCCTCGAAAATCCGCACGAGGATGGGAAAGGGTAAATTCGTTACTCGTAAAAGAGAAACCAGATCTCTTACGTGACCATCCGTGGAACAGCTACATACATATGCGGATTTGACGCAGTCATGGAAATGAACACGGACGACATGGCAACCACCTGCACCGGTTGTGCTTAGTATACATACACCAAAGTCATATCTAGCACTCGACGGACAAGCTTCCCCCCTTTCCTTGAATCCCCAAGTCAGCTTCATTGATCATGATACTTTGAGGGTTGATGAAAGAGGACGCTCCGCAAGTAGGGTTGGTAGCAGTGCTGTTTTCTACCTGGTGTAATGCTTGGGAGGTCGACTTGAGCTTGTTCGTCAGATTCCGGGTTTTCTTGTCGGGAATGTCACCGCTCCCTCCTAACAAGTCTTTGCCGAGCTCTTTCTGGACAACATTTCGTACTTCCAAAGTAGGAGCATAGTGACAGGATTCTTGAGCTCGAGGTCTTTCTCCTGCCCTGGGATCGTGGTTTGTCTCTCCGGCGGATACTATGAGCTCGGCTATGCGGTGCGGAGGAACGACCACTACAAGGCGTCTAGACCTTGCGCTAAAATGCAAAGAGTTGCGAGCCTCATTCAGAAAGCAGATTGAGGCATGCAATACTCGATGTGATACAAGTCAACAGTCACTCTGCCACCAGTCGTAGTGACATTAAAACTGCGAGACCACGTGGTTCCTTGGCACCAGGCGCAGGCGGCGAGGCTGCGACCTGGGCAGAGCAACAACTACTACCATGAGACAGTGAAGTTCACCTCAAGTCACGACCGCCTCACTGCGTCGTCTGCTGGTGCTTCGATGCCTGCTTTTCAAGTTCGCTGAGTGGTTGCTACCTCCCCGATGCTGCAGTCCCTGCGGAGTCGCATCCTGGAGACACTGTCCTCTCGAGATATCCTACCTCGATACCGCCCAGCAGAAGGACCATATCAACTCCTCCCACCTTCGACATTGCCAGATCTACAATCACCAGACCCACAAGTCACGATGACAAGAAAGGGGCTTTGTCCACGCCCGGGCTCTCGTGTCCTTGCCCTCGTCTTTTTGCTACTGCTCATCAGTGCAGTCAGTGCTGGAGTAATTCGTCACAGACCCGGGCCTTCTGGTAAAGCACCTGTCTCGTCTCCGAGTTCTGTTGATTCATTTGAGCAGGGCATCCGGCGCTTCTGGAGGCTACCATAGACGAACTACAAGCAGGGCTTGCCAGCAGGAGATTCACGAGCGTCGACCTAGTCAAGGTATGGACAGAAACTGCCCACGGGTGAGCCGTCCTACATCAAAGTTGTCGTGCTGATCTCTGCCTAGGCTTATATTGCGAGAATACATGAAGTCAACGATACGCTGCATGCTGTAACGGAAATTAATCCCGATGCCCTGGCTATTGCTCGCGAGCTGGACAATGAGCGTTTGCGAGGTTCGTTTCGTGGGTTAGTGATTCTTCCCTTTTGGAGTTCCACAATTCGGTTCACTAATCGCTGTAGGCCGCTTCATGGACTCCCCATCTTGATCAAGAACAATGTCGGTACTCACCTTCAAGAAGACGAACAAAACATACCCATCCCGTCTCGTTTGAGCCATCAAGATACCACGCTGACCTCTCAATCGAGACCAGATTGCCACGAATGATAGCATGAACACCACAGGTATATGAACATGATATTGTTGAAACAACAGGTCCTGGTTGATGCTGACTCCATTCATCCAGCTGGTTCTTGGGCTCTTGTGGGAGCCAAAGTTCCGAGAGATGCTACGGTTGCACAAAAGCTTCGAGCTGCGGGAGCCATCCTCCTTGGAAAGACGAACCTCAGCCAGTGGGCACACTTCAGATCCGTCAATACCACAAATGGCTGGTCAGCATACGGAGGGCAGTCATATGGACCCTATTTTCCAAAACAAGACCCATGGGGCAGTTCGAGTGGTAGTGGCATATCATCAGCGTGAGTATTCCAAATTGAAATCCGTTGTTATCGCTGACAGGCAGATAGGCTCGGTTTAGCACTTGGCTGCTTGGGCACCGAAACAGATGGCAGCATTGTAGATCCTGCTGATTTCAACAACATCGTGGGGATCAAACCCAGTAAGTGTGGTTTGGCAACAGGGCTGGGACCAAACTGACTGTTGAAGCTGTCGGACTCACTTCGAGGCACCTGGTCATCCCGGTCAGCGAGCATCAGGACACTGTTGGACCTTTGACAAGAACAGTCAAAGATGGTGCTCATATTCTGCGGATAATCGCAGGAGCGGACCCGCTGGACAACTATACCTCATCCATTCCACAGGGCAAAGTCCCGGACTTTGTTGCGGCTTGTCAACTGTCTGCACTGTCGGGCGTCCGGCTTGGTGTTCCAAGCAACGTCTTATCGATCCTTTCGACCAACACAACCGAGCCAATACTTGAATCGTTCTACGGAGCATTCGACATATTACAGGCAGCTGGCGCCACGATCGTTGAAGATACCAACTTCACCTCAGCTGCAGAGTTTGAAAGCTCACAGCTACCAACCATCATTCTCGAAGCAGACTTCGTCGTCAACTTACAAGACTATCTAAGCTCGCTAACATACAACCCAAACAACATCAGCTCGCTCGCCGACTTGCGCCGTTTCACTCAGTCTTTTCCACTAGAAGACTATCCGCAGAGAGATACTGGCTTGTGGGACCAGGCACTACAGAACTGGAACAACACATCTCCTCAATTCTGGCCCGCTTATCAGCAGAATTTGGTTTACGGCGACGAGGGAGGTTTGCTCGGCGCACTCAAGCGCTATGACCTCGATGCTGTCATTCTGCCAACCCATTTCTCTTCTAGCTTCGCTGCTACTGTTGGCGCCCCTATAGTGAGTGTGCCAATGGGCTTCTATCCAGCTGGAACTCCAGTCTCAACTGATCCATGGGGCTTGGTCGAAGCCGCTCCAAATATTCCGTACGTTCTGCCGATTCTGCAGATAAATGTGGCAACTAACCAGCCCAGGTTTGGACTCAGTTTCCTCGGAGCAAGATTCGATGATGCCAAACTCATCGGCATGGCCTACGCATACGAACAGAGAACCAAAATCAGGAACAAGGTATCGCCGTACATTGTGCCCCAGACAGAGATTCGGGATGTTGTAGGTTCCTGATGAAGCGCAGACAAGTAACTGCTGAGCATGATGAGGTGAAGTCGAGGGTGAAATATATGCAGTGACCAGCCCGACGAAGAACGGCCGACTGCTGAAGGAATTCCAACGGACTAGGGAAGTTGTCGACAGACCACAACCTCGCGGTCCGTAGCTGACCACCTTGGTAGCCACAGGAGGGCTGTTGATGGGCTGAGGCAGTACGGAACTACTAGGCGAGGAAGTAGAGAACGATACTCCAATAGCTATTGTCGGCGCCCAAGTCTCCGCTGGTTATTCAATTTCCTCTGGCCGTCACGAAGTGCCACCATGCATGGAATGGACCTGTCTTCTCGGGCTCGGATCGTGCGATCCTTTCTTTCTTGGATGTCTGTTACACCAGCACCAGCGCAGAAAATCTCCCAACTAAGGACTCCCGCGCGATATGCTGGAACCTGCAAAGCAGGCACTAAAACTCTGGTGCCCAACCCCCCTGCACATGTATCCGGTCTTCTTTAGCAAACAGGGCGCTCGTAAAAGAGGGGTGGCCTGTCGAACACGAGGCGAAGAGTGAATCATCCAATATCTTCTTCGATTTATGTTTCACAAAGGTAAGGGTCTTCGTGGGACTTTCACATTCACGACCAAGAGGCTTCATGCAGCAAGAAAAGAGGGGTGATAACGCAGTCGGTGGGAAAACGACCAGCCTGTGGCAGCCAATAGCATCCCCATCGTCGGAGGCATCGCTGCAGCTACAGTTGCAGATCCATGCAAATGCACTAAGGTACCCACAGCCTGATCAGCCGATGGAGGGTGCTGTGTTGCAAGGAAGCCCTCTCTCTGGAGCACAGTGAGCCCATTCTCGGCCTCAGTCTGTCTACGGCTTGACTTTGGAGTTTTACCACAACTGGCGAATGGCCGCAATGACGACCTCAGCCGAGCCGCAGATCACCCCTTCTATAGCCATGAGCCAACAAGATCACCTAGGGTCAGGTGATGAGGGTTTACCGGAGGGAGCAGTGTGGAGCGAAATCGAATACCTTGCAGTGGATGCAAAGCACCAGCACGAAAAGCCCTACGAGCTGAGGTTCCAGGCTGGAGGGACGATTCCAGAGACAAACATGGTGGATGAATCCAGAAAAGTGCTGATCTGTAACTTCCGGCCGCTCGAGAATTCTCGCAACTTCGAAGAATATGGCTTTTCGGCTGAGAAGATTGGGTGCACCTTGCCATCCGCAGAGTATGATGACAAGGAAAAGGTGGGCAAGACCTACTATCCTGCCATCAAACGAATGTTGTGGCAAAAGTTTCCCGACGCAACACAGATCCGAATCTTGGAGCACGGTGTTAGTATACCATGTGGATGTCTACGTTGGTATCCTACTATTGACTTTTGATAGCTCCGTAAGAGGGATCCAGAGTTCCCCGCCACCGACAAGCCCTTCTTCAAACACGTCCAGCCTTCCACCATTGCGCACATGGGTCAGTGGCTCGATACAATCCTGTGCCGGTACGGGACTCACCAAGTGCCAGACTACTCGATCTACTCGGCAGCGCGAACTGCTCAGGGGGCGTTCAAGATGGGCCCAGACCAATATCGGCGTCTGGTCACCGTCAAGTAAGTAGCTCGTGATGCGTTTTTGTCTTGGGAACCCCCGGGTTAACACTACAGCGTCTGGAAATCTCTTCAAGGACCGGGCAACGACTGGCCACTGGCTCTCTGTGACTGGCGTACCTTGGACCGGCCATCGGAAAGCGTGGTTGTCGACGTCGTGTACAGCAAGGACTTCACGGAGAACGAAAGCGTCTACTATAGCCCGAACCACAAGTGGTACTACTTCAAAGATTTACAAGACGACGAAGTCATTGTATTTCACCAAACCGACTCTGCTTTGCCAGGTGGCGGAGGTGAGTATATGTGTGTTTCGACACACCTCGTCCAAGCCTCGAAGGATTCAATTGACTTTACTCATGGTACGACAGGTGTCGCCCATGCAAGCTTTCAGAACCCAGACGCAGACAAGAACGCAGCCCCACGAACAAGTATCGAGCTGAGAGCATTCGTATTCTACTTGTGAAGTCTGTGAGAACACGGAAGTGACTTGATCCAAGGTCGGATGATGGAATTCCCCAATCAAAGAGCGTACATCAGTGCGAATCCGCGCTGAGACCACGAATACATACTGCGCCCCGTGAGCCCTCGTAGCATAATCACCATATCAACGACCGTTCATTTCTTCTCGGGCTTCGGCTCGTCAACCTTGACCTCCTCCTCGTATCCGAACTCGGCACTTCTGCCCCCTGAAAGCTTGAAGTGGGGGATTTGGTCTTTCTCGCCCTCTTCCACACGCTCCTTGTCGGTAGTGGTGTCGGGCGCGGGCCAAACCGACTTCCATGGCTGAACCTTGGTAGCTTCTGGCATGGTGGGACTGAAGTTTCTTCTGTGCCTTGGTCGTCTCTTTTATCGTGAGCACGAAGCTTTTGCGGTGGGTGATTTGATTTTGGATAATCTGTCATGTCATGTTAGGAACGACGGGATGGGCAATAGTTTGAAGCGGCACAAACCAGATGTCAGGCGATGGAGATTCTCGGGTTTGAAAGTATTTGAGTGGCAAGGCAGACACAGCCAATGTCATGATGTGGGCGCTGCCGTATAGATATGAAACTGGTTCTCACTGCTCTGTGTCACCCACCTTGCTGCAGGTATCACATGGCCTACATCAGTTGATCCCTGCATGCAAGCCGTAACACAAACAGCCTCTGCAAAGCGGTACCATAGGAGGCGGCTGGATAAGTGCCTGTTCATACCCATCGCGATACGTGTGCTTCGTTGATAGGTTATACAACTCCTCCTACAGGAAGGAGGCCTGTCGGTCATGGGGGATCAGCAGTTACGCTGTCGATCTGGTTGGTGCCCTACCTTTGCCAGCCTTATCCCGCTTCTCCTCCACGGCTCACGACGAGACACCCCTGCTCGAGAGGAAGAAATCAAGCTTCTCGGCGAATGGCGTCCGCTTTGGAATTGAGGGAGGAACCAGGGGAAACAGCAAGGGAGAGCCAGGACGAATTGCTGCCACTCCCTTTAACAAGTTCGTTTCTCAGCCACGCTGGGTCACGCCTATCGCGCGAACCCTGTTTGATCTCACTAGGGCCTTGCCACCGGATGCAGTAGGGCATTCGGGAGACGACCCGACTGTGTATGGTAACCGCTGGTGCTGTTGCCCGACGGGGTTTGCGAGGCTTGTGAAGCGTGCCGATTTTGTATAGGATCTTCTTGGCCCGAGATGCTCGAGGACACGAGCTCAACACAGCCTCCGAGGGACGACGCATGCTGGAAAAAGCGACGCCCAGAGGCGGGCAGTGTAAAACGGCCACAATCTTCACAGCCTGAGAAGACCTCGGAGCCACCTCATCAAGGTGTATTTACCCCGGTAGACACCCGTCCCCCTAGAGCATAACATGGCAGGCTTCCCAGCCGTCGGTAGTGCTTTGTTGGTGTCAATCCCCTGCTCTTTCGAGGCCACAGGACAAGTGCGCTCTCAATGACTTTTGCGTGGATCAGCCTGTCGACCCGGTGGAGTTTGACCAGTGTGCAAGCGGCGCTCAACGTGATCATCTCGGTGCTGGGGACGGTGGGAGTATGGGCGTTCTCGAAGTACTGGTGGCAGCGAGGAAGTGCCAACATTCTCCGGCACGGCTCTGAGCTGCCGTTGACCGAGTTCATCATTGTGTCTGGGCCGGGTGACGGGTGGGATCTCCTCACGGTGCTTCGACGGCGGGTCTTTTCCAAGGGACACTGGCATCTGCTCAGTCAGTTGATCGTGGTGGTCGGCGTCACACTTGCCTGCATGTTTGCCGGCCCCATTGCCAAAGTGTCGCTCAGGAGCACCCAGACTGTACAAAAGAGGCCGCTCGGAGTCCTGCCCACGGTCAAGGGCGACGGGTACGAGGCGAATCTGGTCGATGAGAATGTGCTGTGGAACAACACGATCCAAAGCCTGGACCTGGCCAACTTCACCCTCGATCACATGCTCGAATACCTGCCTCCGTCCACTTCACCATGGACTTACGAACCAAGTCAGTGGGATCCGACATGGACCTTGACGTGTAACTCCACCGAAGAGACGCTTCTGCACAATGTCAGCGCGGTCGGTAACTATACTTTCCGCAACCCCATCGATGCGTTTCCTGCCTATCGCCAGACGTACGAGCCCGCCTGGATGGACTCGTCCAAATACCGCACGCAGGTCGACTTTTCTTCGTGGTCCAAGACCCAGCCGGCCTTCATCTTTGAGGAGGTGCTGTTGTTCATCCTGATCGCATCCGACCCGGCGATTGACGATCGCATGTACACCAACAACGCCACCATGGAGGTTTGCTTCTCCGTGCTGCATCTCTCCCACTTCAACGCCACCGATCTCACCGACGCCACGCTCGATGCGGAAGATTCGTGGCGGTTCGTCGGGCCCGTGGGCAATGCCAGCTATACACGCCTCGAGTGTACCATCACCCGCAAGCCTGTGGTGGCCGATGAAGAGGCGATTCCGTGGATCTGGACCAACGACACATACTCCATCACCTTTGCATTCCGCACGTACTTTTCCAACATGCTAGAGTCGGCCGCGAGCAAAGAGCTGCCGGTCCCGACGCCGACGTCCGTGGACGTTCTGAGAATGTGGCAGGCGTACTTTGCCACCGTCAACACCATCTATGCGTTTCCCACCCCGCGAGTCCTTAGCGTCTGGATGGACACGGTCCAGCTGTCCACGGCCTTACTCTTGACGCTGGTCATCCTCACGGCGCTGATCGTCTGGACGTCCGGACGCTACTCGGTCTTCATGCTGCGCAACAAGGACAAGCTCGACAAGCTCGGCATCCCGGACAGCAAGATCGAGTGGATCATCCACGGGGCAAAAGTCCTTTGGGCCAGTCAAGAGAGGGTCGGGGAGCCACACCAGGACCACCAAGAGCAGCAGCAGCAGCAGGTGGTGGTCAAGGAAGACGACGACGCAGCTTCTTCTCCTCCTCCTATGGCAGCTACGCCTTTGGCGACACAGACGGACCGGGACCACCTGCGCATGGCGACCTTTGGCCACCGCTACTCACAGGTGTGCAATCCCACGGCCGATCCAGGATCGCCGTTGGTGGTCGTCCCAGAACCCAGCCTCGCGCGCATCCACGTGCCTAGGTCGTCGCGCTCGGCAGCGCCGTCGACGAGTATCTCGAGAGAGATCTCGCGGGACTCGGCGCGTTCGGGGCCTGCGAGCACGGACATACAGACGCCGTAGCTGACGGAGAAATCAGAATGACAATCTAAGGACCGACCAGAAAAAGGGTACGAGGGAAGGAGATCGAACAGGCATCTAGCATGCAAGTTTTTTGGGGCGGCCTCGAACGTGAATACGCAGCTGTCCCGGTTCTTGGGTTAATACGTTGTCAGACTGTAGCTCTCCCTACGAGGTCCATCTGATGAGTGGTGGTGGATTGAAAGAAGGAGACATACATACATGTATGTCACTGCACGGTGTTTTCGTTCGGTTTCAGTGATGGTTCGTGGTTCTTTCAATGTCTTTCCCCCTCTATACAGAGGGGGTTCGTGGTATATCGCCGCGGCGAAAACAAGGCCACACCTCACACCAACAGATCGAATCATCGATGCTCCTCCATAGCGTATCGCCTTTTGACACTCGGTACTTGTTCCACGTACTCCATAATTCCCGATGGTGGCTGATCTTTCCCCGCATGGAATGCTTATCGCCTCGGTTCCCCCAGACGCCGGTGTTTCAAGCATACGGGGTAGAGATGATATATACCTAGGCATATAAAAGGAAAGGCCGACGTCCAATGTCTTAGCACCGTCACATGTTGTATCCCCCAGCATCAGCATCAGGAAAGTCTTGTTCTTGCTGTAATTGTTCCCGCCAATCCAAAGACCAAGAGATCCAGACCAAATCCAGAGTCAAAAAGACCAGGATAATGCCCTATCTCAGCCGCAACGGCGTCCGCCTGTACTATGAAGTCCACGGCAGTAGCAGCAGCCCTCCTCTCCTACTGACCCACGGCTACTCGTCCACGTCGGCCATGTGGGCTGGGCAGGTGGCGGCGCTGTCGCGGGAATTCCAGCTCGTGCTGTGGGACATGCGCGGGCACGGCGCGTCCGACTACCCCGCCGACCCAGCGGCGTACAGCGAGGCGCACACGGTGGCGGACATGGCGGCGATCCTGGACGCCGCGTGCGGGACAGGCGCGCGGGCCATCGTCGGCGGCCTCTCGCTGGGCGGCTACATGTCGCTGGCCTTCTACCGCGCGCACCCGCAGCGGGTGCGCGCCCTGCTCATCATCGACACGGGGCCCGGGTTCAAGAAGGACGCCGCGCGCGACGCGTGGAACCGCACCGCCCACGCCACGGCCCAGGGGTTCGAAAGCAACGGCCTCGCCGTCCTGCAGGGCCTGAGCGCCGAGAGGGCCACCGTGACGCACCGCGACGCCAAGGGCCTCGCCCTCGCGGCCCGCGGCATGCTCGCCCAGAGGGACTCCAGGGTCATCGACTCGTTGCCCGACGTCAAGGTGCCCAGTCTGGTCGTCGTGGGCGCCGACGACGCCCCTTTCCTGGCCGCGAGCGAGTACATGGCCAAGAAGATCCCGGGGGCCAGGAAAGTCGTCGTCCCCGACGCCGGCCACGCCGTCAACATCGACCAGCCCGAGCGGTTCCTGCAGGCCGTCACGCCCTTTTTGGACGAGGTCAAGCGCAACGCGTCAAAGCCGAGGGCGTCGCTGTGAGAGAGCATTTTGAAGCAGGGAAAAAAAATACGAAAAGCGTGATTTGGAGGCATTTCCTATTCTGAGAGCTTGAGAGAGAGAGAGAGCGAGCGCGCGTGTTTGGACCCTGACCAGTTGTTGTACATATCCAGGCACAACGACCCTGAACCACATGAATCCCACCGCCTTGTGTACTGTGTTGTTTTGGTTCGCGTTTTTTTTCCAGTCTGCCGCACCTCTCTAACTTTTTCGTCGCCCAGTACCATAACACACACACACGCACACACACACTGAGTAGATGACAATTCAATATCCCCCCCAAAAAATACAGCAAAAAAAGAAGACTTACCTTGTGCGACTTACCGTTTCGAACTTACCTTTTATGCATTATCCTATCTCGCCATTGCCTCCTCGGTCAGACATCTTCCCAGGCGTCCCCGGTGATTATCCGCCTCAGCGACAATGGAATATTGGGTGGAATGGTCCCCCTAGGCAGTGTTCCCAAGCGGAGATAGGCGATTGAGCAACCCTATGTTACGGGAGAACCGGTTTTAAACACTGCTCGATGGCCCCAGATCAGGCTGTCAATCTTGGAGAGATTTTGCCCGTAATAAAATATATCTCTGCAACAGAGAAAATTTTTTCACCTGGTACGCCCGTGACATGGAACGTCCCTAGAGGTTGCTGCTTGGCGGTAGGAAGGGCGTCCGCCGCTGGAGTCTTCTTTGATGGCATTCCTTCTCGGTCGTCCAGTGCCCTTTGGTGCGTTGCAGCCAGTGTGGTCGTATCGAAACAACAACAAGGTCTCGGCCGACTGCGGTATCTTCCCCAATGGTATCGTGCTCTCTCGAGGTCGTGGCAGCTCTCGGATGGTGTGTATTTACCGTGGCCAAAAAAGGGCCCCAGAACCAGGCATGTCGGACTCGTCTGATCTGGGAGGCCACATTGTATCTATGGGCGGATAACAGGCTCCCAAGCGGCGACTTTCTCACCACACAGCGAGAGTATCACGGCGGCTCATGGCTTCTTTGGGGGCTCCTTTTCTAGATGACGGATCGTCTATGACATGTCGACTACCAAGGCGAGTGGCATTCAGTCATGGGCTGCTGTTGCTGTTTACGGCTGTGATGGATTGTGTCTGGGTCATGGATGTGGTCCTACTCCCATTATTACGTGTCGAGCTCTAAAAAATCCTACCTGAGATTGGACTCTTTCTCGAGGTGCAACATCTGCCCACGACAGTATGGGCATGACAGGCAAGGCCATCTTGGTCGATCAGACCAGCAAGCCCGGTTCGTCTGGCTTGAGGACATGTTGCAGCTGCTATGCATCCGTATTGTGAGGTTGATTGACGTGGTGGCTCGCTCAGCAATTACAGAGCTTTCTCGCACAGCGGAATAGGACTCTCGATGTGCTTCAGGCCCAGGACTTGATGGCAATGTATAGCAAGCGGATTGATGGATTTTTGAGTCGCAACCTTGGAGCATGAAAGGGTATTCTTCGTAGGGACAGATACGTGGACACCACATACTCGGCCGATGGAAGCAATTTTCTCTTCTCCATACACATGTGAAAGGCAAGTTTGCCGATCCCAAACGAGGGCTCGTCGCCTTGTGGCCTTCCAACCGCCAACCACCAACTGCACAACCCGGCTTGCTGCCTTGCCTCATACATTGCATGACCTCCGTTTCTTCCTGGTTCTTCGCTTCTTCTTGCACCTCTCCAGCGACCAACTCGACGGGACCTCCTCGCCTTTAACTCGTCACTAACCACCACCTCAGATGCGACTGCCAGCACGCCGATCCTTGCTCTGCCTCTCTATCCAGCCTCAATGACAGCGACTGCCTCCAACCCAGCGAACGCTTCGACCCTGTCAGCTTAACTTATCCATACGGGATTTCTCCAGCCTCACCATGAAGACCACTTATTCGCTAGTCGGTCTCCGACGTTGGTCGTGCAAGAGCAAGGAATTACCTGTAGTCCCCACAATCAAGGCGATCCACGTTTACGACTTTGACAACACTCTCTTCAACAGTCCCCTACCGAACCCTCAGATATGGGCGCAGCCTACCGTCGGCCTGCTTCAAACATACGAGACGCTGGCATACGGAGGATGGTGGCATGACAACAGCATCCTGGCAGCCACGGGAGACGGCCTTGAGATCGAAGAGCCCCGCGCATGGGAAGGTCACTGGAACGAGACTGTGGTCCAACTCGTCGAACTGAGCAGCCAAACCAAGGACGTCCTTACTGTCTTGCTGACTGGGAGAGGGGAGACATATTTCGCGGACCTGGTCAACAGAATTTGCAACTCACGGAAACTCGACTTTGACATGGTCGTCCTGAAGCCCGAGGTGGGCCCATCAAGCCAGCAGTTCGAGAGCACCATGGCGTTTAAGCAGGAGTTCCTCAAAGAACTGGTCTTCAGCTATAAGAACGCTGATGAGATCAGGATCTATGAAGATCGTCCTAGGCATGTCAAAGGCTTCAGGGACTATTTCGAGCGTTTGAACAAATCATTCCTCTCGCATCCAGTCGACCAACCGCCTCCACCTCGGAAGCCCATCACGGCCGAAGTGATCCATGTCTGTGAGCTGAAGACTACTCTGAACCCAGAGACCGAGGTCGAGGTCGTCCAGCGAGCCATCAACCGCCACAACGATGCAATCTCCAACGGAGTTCCAACTCTCACCAAGACTGCCCGCAAGCATTTGAAGATCGACCAGCAATTTTGCTACTTCGGGTATATGATTAATCAAACCGACTCTTCCCGGCTCCTGACACTGTTCAACATCGCAGCTGGCTGGATTGATTCCGGTGAGGTCCGCCTTTTCGCGTCGAGTATCCTCATCACCCCTTATTACCCTCGACACGATGTTCTCAAGAAGGTTGGCGGACGTGGGAAGAAGGTCACCTGGCAAGTCACTGGCATTGCCAAGTTCGAAGACCGTATCTGGGCTGCCCGTGTTGCGCCAGTGACAGAAACGCAGATATACACCCAAGATCCCACACCTCTTGTTGTGCTTGCCGTCCGAAAGGGATCCAGACAGATCGACGCAGCGAAAATCCAGAACTGGCAATCCGTCTCTCCGGACAAAGCTTTCATATTCGAGACCACAGTCGCCGATAAGGTCATGTTGAAAATCGAAGACGATCCCACCCGAACCCAACGTTGGTCAGGGGGCAACCGGAGGGGGCCTTTTGCCAACGATATGGAGGCGGGGCACAAGCGGAAATATGCTGCTGACGAGCCCAACTCGCGGAACAGAGATTCGTATGCACGCGTTGCAGCTGGGAGCGATAGAGATGAGGGTAGTTACGTCCCTAGAGGAGGCCGGTTTGCACAGCGCAATCAACAAAGTAAAGCCAACTTCAACAACCGCAACAACCCAAACTTATCCGGGAACAGAGGGAATCATCAAGGCGCGAACACTACGTCGAAACAACGCGGTGGTGGCCAAGGTGGGGGAGGTCCAAACAGAGGCAGAAACGGCGGTCCTGCCGGTGGAGGCGGCGGCAGAGGAGCCCCGGCTTACAAGAGTCTCGACGACTATCCACCAGGAAACTTTGATGGGGCCAATGATCCCAAGACTGGTTCAGGCGAAATGGTTATGAACTATTAGGGTCTGCATCTTCAGGCAGGCCATGATTTGTTGCAGGATACGACACAGGAGCTGAGATTTTGTTCGGGTCTATGACAGGATGAGCGGATGCTGGAGCATCCATCGGTCGGGGGTCTTTATTGCAAAGCCGGGTGTTCACGGGGAATGTACTGTTCCTGGGATGGGCCTTACTTGTATGATACCCAAAAAGGGCAGTTTGACTCGATATTTTATGATTGTTCTGCTCGAACGAAACCCGTTGCTAGGAGAGCGTTGCTGCTTCCAAAAGCATCAATGAATTGTCGGCGCAGAACTGGTCTTGTCGGAGCTGCCTTTCCAAATACGTCGCAGGAATCTCAATGGAACAGAGAAATCTTGTATGATCAGTTTAGGCACGAAGAAAAGACGGATCATCTCATGTGTTGCCAAGTGTAGCTGCTTCCCATCCTCCAACATGATGCTCTGCTCTGTCCGTAGTAGGTAATTGTTTGTCCTGCCTCGCCAGACCTGTCACTAGACGCTTTCCTGGTCCCTCGCACTGTCGACCAGCGCTGTCGCGTAGGTAGGTAGATACCTGTCTTTTTGCGCCGGGGCTGCCCCAATTCGAGCATTTCGCGCGCCCATTCCCCCCTGTCCGCCTTTCATTTCCGTGATCCGTGAGATACGCTCATGCGCATGAGGGAGTTGTCGACAGCCCTTTGCCTTACCGAGATGATGGGAGAGCCGCGTGAGGCCGTACGTTCGTGTCTGTGCGAGATGTTGGCTCGAGTTCGGCTCGCGTGTTGGGGCCCTGGTGGGTTGAGGAGGGAGGGATAGTGCTCGTGCCGGCAGGGGTGCGGGCAGAGATGGGTGGCGTTTGTTCTTTCTCATGCTGTGATTTCCTCCCAGTGTATAGCCGCGGCAGCAATGCTGGCGGACAACGGGAGTCCGGCAGGATATGTAGGCTTGATGGTCACAGTATCGGAGTCGGCGATGCGAGGAGCCGGCGAGAGGATGGCTTCTTTCTCTTCTTCAAAAGCCATTGCCCTCGTGCCACTCGCGGCCGCACTCCCGCGCCCTGGTCTGCGGATCGAACCCCCTCCGAACAGCCTGCTCTCTGGCGTCGTCCAACTCCCTGCCCAGCCTGCCGCTGCGGTTCTTGAGGGTCTTGAACTTGTCGCTGCCGCCCTTGTCCCCGCCCTCCCACCGCGCCAGCAGCTCCGCGTCCAGCGCCTCCTTGGCGCCGAACGCGTCCAGCCACCGGCGCAGCCCGTCCTTGCCGCCCTCGAAGCAGATCCCGTACCCGTCGCAGTAGCACCGGTGCCGGGACGGGCAGAATTCAAAGACGCCCGTGAAGATGTACTGCCACACGTACTCCAGGATGCGGCCTGCGGTGCTGTCGTCGAGCGCGGTCCGCAGGAGCCAGGCGCGGTAGTGCACGTACTCGTGCAAGGGACGCTGGCGGATGCGCGCGCCCGACACCGCGAACTGGGCACAGCACGGCTGGGAGAGGGCGCGCGGGACGGGCACGTCGGCCCCGAACAGGTCGTGGAACAGGCCCGAGGTCAGCGCCAGTTCTTCGGGCTTGCGGCGCAGGTCGTGCTGCCGGCGCGGCCGGTCGACGTGCAGCCAATCCGGGCAGCCGGGGTCCAGGTGGCAGCGCGTGTTGAAGTAGCCCTGGCGCACGACGTGGGCGTCCGAGAGCAGCTTGATCGTGATGGCCGTGTCGGTGTCCAGCACGATGTTGTTGTGCCAGCTTCTCTTGCGCGGGTGGAAAAACAGCACAACGTCCGGCAGAGAGTCGTAGTGGTCGATGATGTAGGTGAGGTATGCCATGGCCTCGCGGCCTTTGTTCGCCGGCAGCCCAGAGTCCGCCGAGTCGACCGTGTAGATCATCTTGGGCAGCTCGGGGAGGTCCCTGTCCAGCCAGGACGTGTCTTCGGTCGAGAGCCGCGCCATGACCAGGACACGGGTGTAGTTCTCGCCAGCTGGTTTGGCGGTGCCGGCCGAGAAGAGAGACGGGTCATATAGTGGTCCATCTTGGCCGTCGAAGTATGATTGCCTGTTACGGATGTTGTGGAGGAGGAACGTCAGGATGAGTGCTCCGAGGACCAGAGACAGGATGGACGAGCGGCGGAACAAGCGCATGGTAGAGAAAAAGTAGAGAGTATGAGAGAGGTAGTCACCGCCGTCTTTTGCTCTTCATGTTGCCCCACAGGCACAAAGTCCACAGACTGAGAGCGCGTGGTTTGGAGGAAGAGAGAGAGAGAGCGGCTCTTTCACTCCCTTGCCAGGAATCCCGGATTCACAAACGAATGTACAACCCAAGTCAGTGCATGGCCAAGGTCTCTGGATCCCTGCCGCTAGCGGCTTGACTCTTGTAGTAGATAGATGGGGACCGGGGCAGGGGACGAGGAACGACCAACGGAAGATAAGGAATCGAGGACCAACAACAGCACAGGTGTGACATTCTCGACGCCAGCCGAGCCTGGCAAGGGGTGATGGTGATGTTGCTGAAGAATGTCCGTGTTTGAGTCAGGGAATGTTTGTTTTTGGATATGACGGGGAATGCCTGGATTCTTGTCGAGTCACAGATTCGTCGTTATCGTTGTTTGTTTCTGGCGGCTCGTTGGGGGGAGAAGACGGTGGTGTGCGAATGCAATTTCTCTGGTGGAGGAGGTGTTGAGGCTTTGCGAGGGGATAAAATTGCGCCTTGCTGGGTACGTACAAGGCTCCGCCAATCCCTGGCAAGACAGACCAGCGATGGGCCCTCGTTCAGTTCGACATAGAATCTTGGCCTTTTTGTTCTATCATTTGGATGGATAGGTATGTGTCTGCTTCCCATCACACTTTATGACGATGTTGTACACGACTGTGCTCAAATATAGTACATACCAACGAGATGAGAGGAGTTGCGCCGTCGCTAATGCTCTATGTCCAAGATCTATTCTCCGCCATCATTCGTCGTCCTCGGTAGTGCATTGTATGATCGTACACTTCAGTATCCTCCAGTAGTCCCTTTCCTTGTCGAGCAGTGCCGTAACATCCTCAATCGCATTGTCCATCCTTCCATCCATCTTTCCATCTCTGCTTCCAGAGACTGCAATCGAATTCCGCCTTTCCCAGCTTCACATTCACCGCGTTATGAGCTTGACACATCCACATGCCCAGGTCGTCTTGTCCTTTGACCTTGGGCTCGTTTCCGGGCTTCTTCATCCAGTCTCGAAAGTCCTCCGCGCAGACCCAGCAGGGGTAGAGGATAGAGAAGGTTGAAATGAACTGCTTCATGACCGATTGGGTTTCGGGCGGGGCAGCTTCGGGGTATGTAGCTGCAATGCTGTGCAGCAGCGTCCACGTCGCGCGACCGAGTTCTTCGACGTCGGGTGGGCATTCGGTTCGTGGTTGAGCGACTGGAGCAACCGCTGTGGGCTTTTTGCCGCTCTGCTTCATCATCGCCATCCATGCCGCAGAGGAAGTACAGGTTCGGCATCTATTCCGCGGTCAGTGATAAAGCCGAGTCTAGGGCAGAAAACAACCCACGGTTTCCCGTCCTTGTCCAGGACAACCCCCGGAGCAAACTTCTGTGGCTTGTCTTCATCCTCTGCATCCTTGAAGCCAGTTGCCTTGCCAGCTGGGAATGGGAAAGACATCTGGTCGTTCAATCTAAAACACCACACGCCTTCCTCGGGTCACCGCAACCGTCTCTCACGCGCCCTTACAAACATCAAAGAGAATTTGGGACATGATTGCAAATCAGAAAGGAAAGCCTCGCCTAAGGCTTCAAACACCGATATATCCGATGCGTGCTCGCTTAACTTTCCATTTAAGCTTTACCTGGATGGGTTTAGATCAGCACCCGTCACGTGCTGATCTTGTCCATTTGCGGGGGGGCCTCGAGCCCGTCACGAAAGCAAATCCAATGGTCGATCAGCCTGATGCGACCAGCCATTGATCCCACGAACCCGACGCGCAAATTGACCAATATTACTATCACGGCTCTACCCCTTCGGTCGGGCTCTGTATTGTTTCCACGGATTAGCGCGTTATGTCTGCGTTCTACTCCGACTCTTCAGAGGCTTCGAACCCACCCGCACCGCCGGACAACGAACTCGAGAACAGCCTACGATGCGAGGTGGTAAAGGCGCAGAGAGCTGGAATAGAGCTCTCGAACAACTCCATTCGCGCCGCTTCCGAAGCGAGATTGGGATTGACAAAAGGGTTCTACAAAAATGACGAGGAATGGGCACAGCGAAGTAGAGGCATAATAGCCGACCAGCTGGTATAGTTGGATACTACATATTGAGGGTCGCATCTAGCTAACACTATTGCTAGACAATCCTGCAGGACATAGCAAGCTCTCCCGTGAAAGCCAAGCCCGAAGAGCCGAAGAAGACGTCCGCGAAGCGCAAGTCCTCACAGAAAGAGTCCCCGCAGAGGAAGAGAGCAAAGGTCGCAGACTCTGAACCAGGAGACGAGCAGGAGGAGAAAAATGGTGCTGCCGCAGAAGAATCCTCCGATGAGAGAGAAACCACCGCGGCCATTAAGGCCGAAGACGGGTCGGACAGCGACATGTCGGTTCTCTTGGACGAAGCGCCTCCGGAGAAGAAGAGTAGGAGGCGCAATGACTCCGCGGCACAAAGGCCCAAGAAGTCTGCCAGCAAATCCACCACAAAACCCAAAGCCGATGCCGAGATCGACCCCAAGCAGGCCGAAATCAAGCGTCTGCAAGGCTGGCTCGTGAAATGCGGCATCCGCAAGCTGTGGAGCAAAGAGTTGAAGCCCTACCCTACCCCCAGAGCCCAAATTCAGCATTTGAAAAAGATGCTGGCCGACGTCGGCATGACTGGGAGGTTCTCGCGGGAAAGGGCAAATCAGATCAAGGAGGCCAGAGAGCTGGCCGCTGACATCGAGGCCGTCCAGCAAGGAGCAGAGCGCTGGGGTGCTCTGAAAGATGACGACGGTGCACGAGCCGAGAAAGAAACAAATAGCCCGCGGCCCGCGGCAAGGAGGTTGGTCCGAGGAGCGAAGAATTATGATTTTTTGAGCAGCGATGGTGAGGAGACAGATTGAAGCTGTTTCGGGCCCGAATCTCCCTACGCCGGACCTTTTGCTATTGGGCACTGACGTGAAAGGTTGTTGCTTTTATTTGATAGTTTTGTTGCCGCTCATACGCTGTGCAACGAGACTGAAGACGGCCACGGACGAAATGAACAGGACCAGGTTGTAAAACTAAATCAAGCTAGTTAGAACTAATGCTCAAAACGTGCTTCAGAGCTGCAGGGATATCAAGGAAGCTTACGGCATTGCGTGAGTACTCGTTTTCTTCTGCCTCTGTTCGCGCCTCTACAAAGAGGCGGCGGAGATTTGGGAGAGCCATGTTTGATGAGTGAGATACGAGGCGCCCGTATCGACGTGCCTATACTGGATGTTACTGTGTCGATGGAATAGAAGGAGAAGCAGGTCAGCCAGTCGGGCTTTGCAAGGCTGGGCATGTCTTGGCAAGCCCCGCTAGAGCCTTGTGGCAGCTTTGAGGCAGCCTCATCACAGCCTTGCCGGGCTATTTTCCATCTCCTTTTTGAAAAGTAATCAGTCCGGTCATCTCTCACCGGAGACTGATTCAGTATTGGATTGCCGAACAGTTGATTGAAGGTGCTACGATAGCAGTAAGCTCTCCAGTCTCACCCGCGAATCAAGCTTGACCATCAGGACGCCGGCACGCTTTTGCAAAGAAAGGTTATATTCGCTCCCTTTACCAGAACGACCTTAGCAGGCCGACTCGAGCCCACCCTGGAAGGCTCTCCCAATCCAAAGGAAGAGCTCGTTCACTGACTCTCGGTCACTATTGAACCACAATCGATTCAACCTCGGAGACATTTCTAATTGGCATCATCTTCAGGCGTCCTGTTGCGACACCACGTCCTTTGGAGTGCAAAATCAGCGGCAACCCCTTCTCGATTTGGGTAGCGTGAGCGTAATCACAGTAACGGTAATAGAAAATGCTTCCAAGCTGATACTTATCAGCAGAACCGTCCTTGCTTGGCCTTCTGCCAATCCTTCAACAGCCAACGTTCGAGTCCCGTGCACGGAGGAAGTGGGAATCCCAACGTGATTCGATAATCAACGCTTTTCAACATGACTATCCCCTGGATGTGGCGCTTCCCTTCATCGGTGAGATCACATACGAAGGTAAGATTGCTTGAACGCGTCGCTTCCTGGTCTTGGATTGGTGGCCTCAACACTGCTCGTACACCATCTTCGTATACCGCACCAACTGCGGCTGGTTGCCCACTTGTCTGCTTGCTGCCTTACTGCGCTGTTGACCAGATGGAACGCCTGCTTGATTCTCACTATATAAACCATCGAAACCATATCCTCACGGCACAACTCTCTGAGGAATAACATTGCTCAATCTCAACAAGCTTCGGTAATCATGGACGGCCATCCACTTGCTTCCATACCACCACTTACGCTTCATGCCGGCGTCAATCGAGATCAAATCAACGCGGGTGACATTGTGGCCGACTGGCTCGCTGCTCTAGAGAAGCGTCCCAAGAACGGTCTGTCTACTGACCTCTCGGACCTTTTTATTGATGATTCCTGGTGGCGGGACTTCGCCGGGCTCTCCTGGGATATAGTGACAAAGCACAGTCTCGAAGATGTTGCAGAGTACCTCACTAGCTCGACCACTGGATTCGGACAGCTGACTGCCATCAAAACCGGCGGTCTGCAGGCGAGCTTGGTAGACATGCACGGATCCATCTGGATCCAGGGTGGATTTACTTTCCGGACAAGCGATGGCTCGGGCACCGGTCTGGTCCGATTGATCAATGTGGACAAGTTTCAGTGGAAAGCATGGATAGTCTTCACTCAACTTGAGAGACTCAACAATCAAGACGAGCTTGACAGCCAAAGGTTACGACAATCCTACACCCAGTCAAGGCTCGCCAATGGCGTCAATGGGGAGAAGAAGGACGACCTTCAGGTCCTGATCGTCGGTGCAGGTATGTCTTCACAGTTCTCAGGGCAATCACACGCTGACGCAGTTCTAGGGCAATCGGGCCTCATGCTCGCCGCACAGCTTAAGAACATGGGGATCAAGGCATTGCTCGTTGACAAGCTCCCCCGACTCGGTGACATGTGGCGCTCCAGATACGAAACAGTCAGGACCCATACACCCATCTATACCGACCACTATCCCTTCCTCAAATTCCCCACCAACTGGCCCCGATGGCTTGAGCAGGATAAGATTGCCGGCTGGATGGAACATTACGGACAAGTGATGGGACTTGACTATTTGCTCAGCACGACCGTGAGCAAGATTGACTACGATGAGGAGGCCCGTCGATATACCGTCGAGGTGGAAAATGAAGATGGCAAGCAGACCTTCCACCCTCGGCATCTTGTTTTAGCCACCGGCGTGTTCAGCCGGCACCCAATCGAACCCGAAATCCCAGGCAGAGACTCGTTCAAGGGCGAGACATATCACTCAATGCACCACAAAGCCGCACGCCTCATCCCCGACCTAGCCAACAAACGCATCGCCATCATCGGCTCTGGTACCAGCGCCCACGACATCGCCCAGGACTTTGTCAACTCGGGGGCGAAACAAGTATCGATCGTCCAACGAAATGCCATCTTCTCTGTCTCGGCCAAAGCGCTTGAAGATGCCTACCTGTCCTTCTGGAACACGCCCGGCGTCTCCACCGAGGAGGCAGACATCATTGCCAACTCTTTCCCCACCGCAGTGGGTCGGACGCTCAACATCGGACAAACGCAGATGATGGAGGAGCAGGACAAGGAGCTAATCGAGGGCCTGGAGAAGGCAGGTCTGAAGTTGAAACGAGCAAAGACGGCGGGGTACGGCTTTATCGATCACCTCGTGGTGAAGACCGGACACTTCTACATTGATCAGGGAGCTAGTCCGATGATTGTGGATGGGAGAATCAAGATCTACTCGTGCGAGGAGGGGGTCAAGGAATTCGTTCCCGACGGGGTCGTCCTGGCCAATGGGACGAAGGTGCCGGCCGACCTGGTCGTTCTGGCGACGGGTTATCAGAGAAATGTCCTGACCGTCGAGGAGCTCATGGGGAAGAAGGTGGCCGACAAGGTTGGCGATCTGGGCTACCTCGACAGCGAGCAGGAGCGGATCGGGGTAAGTGACTACTTTTTACCCACAGACTCCCCCATTTACTCAGTTGCTGATCATCGTCACAGTGGTGGAGGCCGACGGGCTTCCCGGGCTTCTGGTACATGACCGGCAGCTTCATCTGGGGGCGCCAGTTTTCGCCCATCCTCGCTCTGCAGATCAGCGCCATCGAACAGGGCCTGAACCCAGGGTATTGGGAACAAACACAGCGGAACAACAAGGGGATAGGCGCGGTCGCACACAGAGTGTAGACCCAAGTTCGCAGAGGCGGACGGTAAGTTCCTCAGGGCGACGACAACTATTTCAAGATGTTAGACAGGTCGAATGCTACCGGTCGGTCAGTTGAGTACGTAGTTGAGATATGGTCATCCGGTTCCTTTCTAAAGCTGTCCTCTGTCTCGTTTCCCATGTCCAGGTCCACGTTGCCGTCAACAGTTCATCGTTTGTTTGCTCTCCCCTTTTTGACCTAGCCTTGTCTCTTTGTGCCTTTGTGTCTTTGTCTACAACGTGGACGCTCGGTGTTGTTTGTCAATGAATATGCGTAGGTCACTGCATTGATTTCATTGTGGCATTGTCACTCGCCGTGGCAACAAACAATCGTCCTTCCGTTCTTGCGTCGTTATAGATTTGCTGGATGGGAGTTTCTCTTTCTCAGACTCTCGCGAACATCAAACACCATTCGATCTGTCTCCAAGACAAATACATACCTACATACCTACACGAAGCAAACAACAGAGCAAAAGCAAACCAAAGTATACCTCACACCAAGACTTACACGTACTCATTCACCATGAAATTCCTCACGACCATCACCGCCGCCGCCGCCTTCGCGATGGCCACGACCGCTTCGACCGTTAACGACCCGGCCGCCCTGTCCGCGAGCGTCAACACGTTCGACCTGGGCGGCCGCAGCCTGAAGAAGATGGACGGCAAGTGCACGGCCAAGGGCGGGTGCAAGGTGCCCGGCGGCCTGCACTCGGCGTATCCCTGCTGGAACTCGAAGTGCAACGTCACGGCCAAGGCGGGTGACGCTGACGACACGGGCAAGAACTGCACCATCGCCCCGGGCATGGACGGCGCGTGGGTCGCAAAGTGCCCGACGAACCTGTTGCCGTATGAGTGGGCGTGGCCGTGGGTACCGCCCAAGAAGAGCAGCAAGGGCTCGGACTCGGGCAAGGATTGAAGTGGAGGAGCTGGAGAAATACAGGACGGGTGATAGAACTATACTGTGTAGGAGAGGTCAGGTCCTGTGTAGACAGTCCGACACTGATCAAAATAGTTGCAGCCCATATGGATATTGGATCCTGAACTGTCAAAAGTAGTATGTTTGCAGCAATCCCCAAGCCACGTAGGCATGCGTACATACCAAAAGGGGCCTACTCCCCTGGACAGATACTGATTCACCGCTGAAACGCCGCGAGCCCCTCGATCTTGTCCTGGTCCACGTTCCCAATGGTGCCTGTGAACCCATTCTCCTTGACCGCAGCCAGATCATCTTGGTTCCTACCCGGGTGGCCGCCCGCGGGTCCTTTGCCGACCGCGACGGCCAGGATGTTTTCGACGTCGAGAGCCTTCTCGACACCCCCAGCAGTCTTCGAGCTGCTCCGCCACGCGACGTGGTCGTCGGGCCTGACTAGCACGGCGTCCCGCTCCCACACCTCCCTCACGTGCGGCTCGTCGGGCAGGTGGACGGCCTTGAGCGGGATGTCCAGCTTCTTCGCCGGGGGCGCGAAGGCCTCGATGTATCGGCCGTCCGGGGTGAAGTCGACGAGGGAGAACTCCCTCCCGCGCCCGAAGAGGTCGAAGACGCTGGTCGTGCCGTCCTGGAGGAAGACGTGCGGCGCCCGCGCGCCGGGCCACGTCGAGGGGACATAGCGCTCCGGAGTCCAGTCCGGCTCGGGCGTGGCGTCCTCGTCCGGCAAGACGACGGGGGAGCCGTTGTAGCGATACCCCATCTCGATTCCGTGGTCCTTGTTCTCGCCGTCGTGCGCGAGGATGTACGCGGCGATCTGGGCGCGCACGGCGTCCCCCTCGGCCGTCTTCGCGGTGACGGCGTCGCCCGTCCGGTCCACCAGGTCCTTGTAGAACGAGTGCTGGGACCAGTGCACGCCCGAGCGCTCGATGTTCCTGGCCGCCACGGGCCGCCGCTCGGCCTCGTACGACTGCAGCAGCGCGGGGCCCCCGTGGCCGGCCAGCACGGCCGCCAGCTTCCAGCCGATGTCGAAGCTGTCCCCGACGGCCGTGTTCATGCCATAGCCGCCCGTGGGGATGTTCTGGTGCGCGGCGTCGCCGGACAGGAAGACGCGGCCCCGCGGCGAGATGTATTTGTCGGCGATGCAGATGTTGGGCCGCCACGTGCTCGTCACCAGCACCTCGTCGATCGCGATGGGCCACGGCGCCCTCGAACCCCCCAGCACGCGGTATACCGTGTCCTCCGGGTCGAGCGTCGACACGTCAAAGTCCAGCGGCAGCGGGGTATGGGCCGTCCACGTGTCGACCTCGTCCTGCGAGATGATGACGTGCCCGCTGGTGAAGAAGATGTGCCAGAACTGGCCCTGCCGCTGGATGCGGCTCAGGTCGCGCGACTTGAAGTGGACGAGGTATAGTTTGGCGGGCCTGGGGGTGTGGCAGAGCCGGGTGGTGAGCTCAAATAGGCACAGAGAAGCGAGAACAAGGGATGATGGACTGGGTGATGAGGGCAAAAAACACTCACACTGGCCCTCCTATCAGCTCGACTCCGATCGCCTTGCGTACCCGGCTTCCTGCACCGTCGCACCCCACGACATACTGCGCCTTAACCCGGTGCGTTTCGCCCGCGGTGTCGGTCAATTCGCACTCGACGCCCGCGTCCGACTCGGCCAGCGTCTCGAACTTCCAGCCAAAGTGCGACTCGATCAGGGGCTGCGCCTGGATGCGCGGCTTCAGCCAGGCCTCGAAGATGGCCTGGGAACACCGCTGGTAGGGCTCGCGGGGCATGGAGCCGTCGTTGTGGGCTTTGATGTGGGCGCGCCACCAGTCCGGCGAGGGGAGGTCCTAGACCAGCAGAGAGAGACAGTCAAGTTAGTCGCCATACCCCCTCTATCGAGAAGACGAGTTGTTCAGGCTGGATAGTTGGTGAGTGAGTGAGTGATGCTTACCCATTTGGCAATCCGTTCGCCTCCGTCGGACAGCCCAGAGCTGAAATGCACATCGAATGAGTAGTTTTGCGGCACCCCTGCGTTTCCACCGCTCATCAGCCCAATCCAGCCATTCATCATCGCCTCTGTCAGGGTTTCACCCTCAAAGGCCCAGGCTAGACTCTGCCAAAACAACGCTGGACGGAACACGAACCGACTTCTCGCAGCCCCTGGTCGATCTGGAGCCGCTTAAACAGCTCCATGCTCCGACAGTTGGTAATGTCCATCTTGGGCCAGCGCGTCGTGTCGAGGTTGCGCTCCACGAGCATGCACGGCACGCCGTTCTCGGCCAGCTGCAGCGCTGCGATCAGCCCGGCAGGCCCAGCGCCCACGACGAGCACGGGCGTTTCGTGGTGGACGACCTGGAGGAGAAATGTTAGGGGGATGTGGCTATGGTACTCGCACGATTGGCCATGGTAAGACGCACCATTCTCTGTAAACAAATCTGGGAGGTTTCTGGGAGAAAGGGGCTTCGCCAATGAGATGTGCAAGGGCGGTTACACAAGTATCGCTATATTATATTATACGGAGTATAGTTATATGTATGCATATATATACTTTGAGCCTCCACAATAGGGTCTTACCTTGGGGCTTTTGCCCAGCACCACTACCACTACCACTACCCGGACCACTATCCATGTACGTACTAGGAAATCTCCGGAGACCCTCCGCATGTGGCCTTTCCTTGCCTGTGTCTGGGGAAAAGGCTTGTAGCCATTGCTGCATTAGTCCCTCAGGAACGAAGCACTCGCCCGAGAAAGTCGTAAAAGCAACGCCCATTGCCCCGCCCCATCTCGCTTCCCTTAGAATGTGTCCCTCCGGTCGAACACCTCGTTTACTCTATGACACGGCTTACACTACGGAAACGCTGGACGCCCTTTCGTGGGGAGGGGAAATTGATTTGACAATGATGATTAAAAGATGACATTGACACGATTGGGGGGAAAAGGGCGGCCAGGCAAGGCCCACTGCCGATCCTGAGCCTGCATTGTCAAAATCCCACAAGTGATAGAGGAATCATCCATCCACCAGGCGGGGAGCCCGGTGTCGAGGTTTGCGCCGTCCATGGCCGGCACTGGAGGATCACTGGGGCTGATTCCCGGGGATGGGAATTGGACGGTTTGGGTCTAGATCCGGCGATGGCTTGGACACGGAAGTAATATCTTTCATACGCCCTTGTGACTGGCTGAGAGCTAAGAGTAATGCTGCGCATAGGAGGGTATGCTCTTCTCTTTGTACGGTGGGTGTGTGCCAGTGATTCTATACAGAAATGCTCCGGCGTGGGCAGTTACACGCCACACCAGCCTTGTGCAAAGAGGGCATTATTCCCATTTGAACAGTCCACACGAGAGAAGATGTAACTGCCAGGTATATGAATACGGTCCTACTATCCACTAACACCCCCCCAAATTGCTCCTTCACATCAAGCTGCCACCATAGGCACGTTATACTGAGCTGGTTTCGCCTCCAGCGGGTCCGGGGGCACTGGCATCTCCTTGCCCGCGTCTTCGATTTTTCCCGACAGAAAGGCCAGAGGGATATTGGGGCCCCAGATGTGCAGCGTGTCCGGCGCAGCGGCCTCCCTGCCAAAGGGCGTGTCTTGGTTGACCAGATCCCCGTCCGAATAGTGTTCGACAATGTTTCCAGAGCCGTCGAACCTGTCAACCAGGAAATAGTCAGCCACAGTGTTTGAGATCACGATGCCAGAACGGAAGAGGTCCATACCAGTAGTCGAAGATCTGACTCCCCAGGACATGTCGCCCAATGCCCCAGCAGTTCGTCCAGCCCTTGGTTCGGAGCCAGTCATGCCCAAGGGTCTGCGTGTCGAAATCATTGACTTCGTAGCTTGAATGATGGACGAACACGGGCCGCCCTTCCTGGCCGGATGCGACAAACCAACTCTGGGGCGCATCCGTTAGTCTGCAATATCGACAATTGGCTGCATTGACTTACGTGATGATCAGTATATTCTGCCCCCAAGTCTATGTGGCAAAAGCACGTCTCATCTTTGCCCGTCACAGGGCTGAAAACGGCGTCGGTCGGCTTCAAATTGATCAGGCCGGTATAGAATGAGAGCGTGCTCTCAAACTTGCTCGGGGGGACAATGAATCCGTAGTGTCCCAGCTTGTGCACAGGGGAAGCCCCCGGCTTGAATCGTCGAAATGTGCCTTTCCTGGGCTTTTGGATGGCCGTGTTTGCGATTGGTGCAGTCTTCTCGAGCGGAGGTACGGGGCCGTCGCTCTCTCTCAACTTTTGTCCATAGACAAAGCCCACCGTGAAGCCATTGGGATCCTCGACCGTGACCACCTTTCCACCGCCGGGCGCATCGCTGTCCTGGATGGGCGAGGCACCTGGACGGGCAGCAGCGGCTTCCAGCTCTTGCAGGCTGTCCACCACCCAGAAGCCCCCGACAAAATGTCTCTTGGTGTCTGGAGATCGTTCGGCGACGTAGACGAACGGTTGGATCCCGTACCCGCGAAGGTACACGCGGTCGGCGGTTCGGTGCTCCTCCACGAACCCAAAATCGAAAAGGAAAGAGAGCGCTCTGTCCAGATCCGGGTGCTGGTATACCACGTGCGCCAGTCGGACCACACGAACTTGCTTGACTGCCATCCCGTCCTGGGTTAAACAAACACTGGTGTTAGGTCGTACGATGGGAACCAAGATGGACCTGCACAGGTACAAGCTGTGCCTCCCAGAGAGAGAGCTCCCCGGAGTGCAATATATCAACACCCCCCAAATTCGCCCCGCAAACCCGGCCGTATGAATCGCGACAAAGTGTATGGGATAGGTTTGCCCCGTGGGCTCTATCTACGGTCTTCACGGATCCCATCGTGGGTCAGTAGCGGACACGGCCATGCACGGTCTCAGGAATGTACCGATCACCGTCCACGTGACAACAGGTTCGATGGAGTCCAGGCTCGGTGCGGGCGCGGCTTCCGGTGGAGTGGTATAAGAAGCCAAATTCCGAGGCATTGGCATGGAGGTAACCCTCCTTTCAAGGTGCGAAAGTTGATTTGCCAGATAGCTCGGCGGCACCATCATTGTCTAGGACTACTCAACCAGGCATGAAATCCAGATCTTGGTAGCCACCAAAGAAGTCGGAAAATCCGAATTCGATCTCATTGCTGCCATCATAAAATTGAGGCTGGAGCACAGGGAAGTTCTGAGGGTCAAACATGGGGGCTTGGTAGCTGGCTATGTTCGTTTGATCAGTCAACTCCAGCGACGTTGGATACTCCTCCTGCGGGAGTGGCTGCCGTTGCTGCACCTCCGCCGGACCGGGGTACGAAATGTTGTCGCTGATCGTCGAGTTGTTCCTCTCTCGCCGGTTGAGATCTGGAGGAGTGTTGCCGCTGAGGCGCGGCATTCGGAAAAAGACTGCGTATCTTTTGGCTAGCTGTCTTTCTTCGGCGTTGAGCGCGCCTCCTCTTTCAAGGATCTTTGCCAATTCTGTTAAGGTGGTCAGAGCGTGAAAAATTCTGGAAAATGAATAGTCTTACCTGACACAACGGAACCCAACTTCCATCTCTCGCTGAAGTGTGCCAGGACCAGCTTCCCCAAGTCGTGACTAGAAGCGATCAGAGGCTGGGTTCTTAAGATATCGCCATCCACGTAGTAGGGTGGGAGCATCATGCATGTAAAAAATGGGTGTGCGACCGCGATGTATCTGGAATCCCAGAGACTGATGATCCGTGACAAGTCGATGGCGCGCTGCCGGAGGGGAGACGGCCCGCTAGCACCCACGCTTGACACACTGCGGTCGTCGTTTTCGGCCGTAGCAATGCCAGACACCATGAAGGACGCGGCCATCAACATGAGATGGGTCCCAATGACCCAGTTGCACCGGGCAAAAGTCGCCGGGGTGAATGTCAAGGTTTCGGCGTCGAGTCGAAGCGACGCAGGAAGGGCCAGTTTGAAACAGCAAATCTCGTTCTCCAGCGTCAATTTCTCATCCGCGGATACGTCTTGTTTCTGTTGCAGGCGGTCATGGACCGTCGCCATGAAATGGTTGGCGACCAGGAACCACGCCCTCTCGTCTTGGTTGCTACAGCCCTGCAACGACCTCCACGATTGTCCCGGTAGCATGTTAAGCTGTGCAGATGATACCTCTATTTCGGCAAACCAAGCTTCGTCTGAGACTGGTAGAGCAACAGCCATTCTTTTGCGGTCGATCGAATACGGGTGCCGGGAGACCGTAGATGCAAATGTATCGAGTTCCCACACAGCCCACCAGGCTCGCCTGAACTCTTCCCGTTCAACCGAGTCCATGGGCGTGAGGGGGCTCCAATCTTCATCGTCAATTTCGGAGAGCCCCAAATCGTAGGCTAACCTAACACAGACGCCGATGAGGATCCAGCCTTGGTGTGTTGGGCCTGACGTGTAGAAGTAGTAGGCCAGTAGGATACAGCCCTGGAGATAAGTCAAGGACGGACTTCGTATTGAACGGGCCTGGGCGTAGCAATCTCGAGCGCGCTGAGCGAACTCGTGTCCTCGCTTGTTTGGCGGCGTACCAGCAAAAACTGGATGGTTGGAAAACCTCGCGGACATGGCAAACATGCTGTAGAACAAGAGCGACTCGTCGACGGTGAATCCCTTCATGATATCGCCATCATTCAATAGAGACTTTTCGTACCGGGCTAGAAACCGCGGTCGATGGAGGATGGGGACCCAGGCCTGGACTTTGTCAAAGAAGACGTAGATCAGATCTATGGCGACCGAGCAAGGGATTTCTGCACCGAGGGCCGAAATCTGTGTCGGCGTCGAGAGTTTGGTGGTAGGTTCAGTTGAAGTTGCGGGTGGCGATTGCTCCAAGTCTTGCCCGTCGGCTTCGGGGTCTTCCTCGTCAATATCCTCGGCGTCAGAGGCAGAGCCATTTTGGTTGTTTGATTCGGTGGATTGGTCCTGGTTTTCAGGGGCGTGGTTCTCGGTCTCAGCGATCTCGGCGAGGAGTCCTTTCAGCGAATCTCGAAGCAGGGTCTGGGGAATTCCGCGCCGGCCGTCCTGCTCAGCGGAGCCTTCTCCCGCTCGCGAAGCTGCATCAAGAACCTGGACTAACTTGGACAGGCTGTCACTGATCTTTCGAGATTGAGTCTTGAGCTGGGGTTTGCGCGTAGGCTTCTTCCTTTTCAGAGGGAAAGTGCAAGAGTTACCCGTCCGTAAGCAAAGGCCGCAGACGGGACGACGCATGTCACATTTGGTCTTTTTGCGGTTGCACTCTTGACATGCCCGGCGCGGTTCAAGCGGCGGGACAGAGGCCTCGGTCTCGGCCATGGTGGTTGCCCGAAGGAGCTACGTAGCTCGACCACTGAGATACACAATCATCGAAGTCGACGTTCAGCGATTCGCGATGTCGTGACCATGAGGTTGAAATTGGAAGAAATGAGATGTTTTGCTAGCCCTTGAATCTTACTTAGGATCCTGCGGGCGAGCGCCCGGCGCTAGACCAGAAATGGCCATGGTGGCAGCCTCGATGCGGAACGGAGAGTGGGCGACAAAGTGGGGGCGGACGGTGGGGTGGCAAGGCGGGGGTCTTGGCACCACCAAGCTGACTAATGGCGGTTGGCGCAGTTTTTACTTCATTATCATTTTCCAGCCAGCCTTGCGACAACCCATAGACATCGTCCAACTCTGTAGGATTCGGGGCTCTCTAGCAATATCTCCCAGTCTACGGCTAGTCTCCTCGCGCGCTTTTCGCACCCAACCTAAAGAGTCGGAGTGCCTACATAAGAACGCATCCAGTTGCTCCTCATGTAGTCAGTTGGTGGACTTGAATAGCTGAAAAGGTAGGGTAGTCTCTCATTTGTCACTCAGTCAATGTCCATTGCCTTAACCGTGTGTGGGACTACATACGGCTGGGCGTAGCAGAAATGGCTCCAGTGACTATACGAGCTTCTCTCGGCGCAGTCCATCGTACAAGGCGTGGAGATCAGGTTCTCCTTCACTGACCGACAGCTCTAGCTGTGTCCTAAGCGTTCCGCGCAGTTGCATCCGTCGCTGATCTGACCGAATGTTCCCGATCAACTCGTCGAGCTGCTTCCCCTCCAGTTTGGTGGTATTCCCTACGACAGGGCGTTCAGATTCAGTCTTTATATGTGTAACTCACTGTGGCTGCACACTGGTACCTGTGCTTACCTTGGAAGTTCAAGTAAGGTTGGAGGCGGCTTTTGCACCTCTACCTTGACCACTTGCAGGCCACAAGTGGCCAACAGGAACGGGAAACTATCTATCCCAAATCCTACAGCTTTCACAAAATCTGAGATGACATGATGCTTCCTTCATTAGATCCGGCCCTTTTCCCCCTGTCTTCACTATCTAAACAATTCCCAGCTCCGCAAAATGGTCAATTGTAGAATGAAACGACGTCGTATCCTCCGAGTCTGATTTCTCGGCCTCATGCTCCATCCTCGCCAACCTCGTGTCGACCCTCGAGGGCACGGTTACACTGAGCAGCAGCTCCGCAAACGCAATCTCCCAATCCACAAGCTCATCCTGTGTCATCCGAGCCTCGTTCATCTCCGCCCTTTGTCCCTCGATGCGTTGGTGAGCCAGCTCCGCGGCCATGTGGCCCTGCTTGTCTCTTACAGTAGGATCGAGGCCGTACATGCGAGCGCATGCCAGGAGGCGTAGCATGGGCACATCGGCGAAGAGCGCGGCGTAGTGCAGCACCGAGCGGCCGGCCTTGTCGAGCGCGCCTGTGTCGAACTTGTGGGTCAGGAGCTCAGAGACGGAATCATGGGAGTTGTTGGTGACACCGCCCTGGAGTGGTGTCGTTCCGTTGTTGTCAGCCGCGCTGTTGATGCGGGCGCCGTGTCGTATGAGGATGCGGACGGCCGAGGTATGATTATTGCGGACGGCTTCGAAAATTGGAGACTGGCCGGAGTAGTCGGACGCATTGACGTTGGCGCCGCATGAGAGGAGGGCTGGAATGAAGAACTCTGGGTAAGAATAGTACATCGCGGCAATGAGGCAGGTTTGACCCCATGTATCGCGTTGGTCGACTCTCGCTCCAGCCTGAAGGAGGAGCTCCATACACTCTGGACCGTCGGCTTTGAGGGAAGATCGCAGCGGGCCCTGCATGATAAAGTCTGTTTTGTTTGGAGAGGCTCCGTGCTCAAGCAGCGTTCGAACGGCTTCGCTGTTGCCGCGAGCGGCTGCCCAGTGCAGTGGCGTCCTCCCGTCAGCATCGGGCTGATCGATCAACGTTGGATGCTGGAGGACTTCTTGCTTCAGGTCAATATGTAGCATGTTCATCACGACCTTGTGCAATTGAGTGAGCTTCCTTCTGCCTACACACGCGTCCTCATTGGGATAGATCTTCAACAACTGGTCTATCTTCCATTTTGATGAGTTTGAGGTACCCTGGAAACACAAGATCGAATTCCAGGCCATGTCATATGGTGATCTGCTTCGGCTCAGTTTTGTCCGCAGTTCTTGGCTGTCTTGATCACTTACTCCCTCGTATAGTTTTCTGCGTGTGGTTCGGCTCCAAATTGGATGAGCAGCTCCACAACCTCAAGTTGGCTTTTGTACATTGCAAGATGTAGGAGGCTGTTTCCGTTGCTAGCGTTGACATCTAGGACTGAAGCCTTGCCCGCAACTAAGCTTGACCTGACGGCTTCAACGTCGCCGAAGTAACAATCCTTGAAGATTGGATCCCACTCAGGCCGTACGTTTGCGACGCGGAGGCAAAGCTCTGGACCATTGGCCCGACTGATGCTCAATGCGATTGAAGCGACCTTTGCCAGGAACCAAGGTGGAAAGAAATAATGAACATGTAGCAGCCCTTCGGAATTGCCCTTACAAACGTTGCTGTCGCATGCGGGACTGAGTGCTGGGATTCCAGTGTATCCAATAAACAGCATGCCCACGACAGACCTCAGAAGCTTTGGCGTATGCATGCTCACCTGTACATGACAGGCACATCTGCACCAGGACTCACATCTGGTTCGTTGTGAGAACCTCATCTGAAGTGCGCCAAACCCCGATGTTGCAATTGGTGGCTTCTGCTCTTGATTGGCCCACGGGGTAGGCGCATGGCTCGCAACAGGTATGACCGGGGGCTGCTGCTGCTGGACCTGCTCTGAAAGGCTCAGAAGCCCTTGCTCAATCTTGTCAAAGCGCCCCTCATTGTTATCGTGATATTTCAGGATTGTTGCTAATGATTTTTCCAATGACGAATGTTGTTTAGCGACGACCTGAGAGAAGCCCAGTTGCCCATGACTTGTAGTAACGCGAAGATCCCGAAGCTCAACCTGAACCCGCAATGCGATACTCGAGGTCAGTATGCCCAGTGCAGTGTTCAGGTTGTGTTTCAGGGTTCCAAGCTCATTGCGTATCTTAAACACATTCGACTCCACCCTCAACCACAACACCTTACTCGTAAATTTGAGGCCATTGGCAGGGAGTTTTTTGAGGATGGTATCGAGATCGTTCAATTTCGCTTGGATGTGCTCAAGTATGGGAGGGAGGCTCTGGAAGCCAGCTATCTTGGGCGCGGTCGAGCCACGATTTTCAGCGTGAACCGATCTGGCTTCGCTAAAAAGAGAGTTAACCTCGTGTAACAGTAATTGAAGGTCAGAGACTTCGTTGTTCAATGCCAAGATGACATCTGGCACACCTCTCAACCTGATTAACTTTTGGAGACCCTGGGAAGCGGCATTGGCCGCACCTATCAGTGCTATGAGGCTTGCTGTAAATGACAGCGGGTCCATGGGGCAAAGTCGCTAGCATACACGGCAATGAGCGACATCAGCAAGCTAGTTAACGGAACATCGGTAGTGATACAGACGGCTTCAAGGTCTCCGCCGCGTTGGATGGTGATCTTCTCTTGTTCGAGAGGAAAGCCTAGCAGGCTCATAAGATGGTGCAGACTGAGAGCCTTGGTGTAGAGAAGACCAGGCGGGGGAGGCGGGGTTCTTATCTGCCCCTTATACCCGAGAGAGGCAGAGCCTCAACAGATTGTGAGCATCTCGATAACGACTTTTTAAGTCCAAACATGGTATAACCAAAAGAATATCCGAGGAAGATGCTTGGATATGTTATAATACAGGAAGTCCAATTCCGCGGCCTGGAACTAGCCAATCCTACCATTCTCATTCTTCGTGTTGCTGTGTGATGGAGTGAAGGTAGCCGCCCTGGTCAGAAAAATATTTTAAAGATGTCAGGCCGCACTCCTCCGTGCTCAGTCACGTGCAGGAGCATCTCAGGTTGAAGCGGCGAGGCTCAAGGCCGCGCTCAGGTCCAAAGATGGAAATGGAAAGTCCTCGTGTCGAGATTCCGACGTCGAAATCCCTGTTTCTCTGCCAGCCTCGTCCGTCGGCCTGCACAATGGACATGGCAATGGGGTGGCTGGTAGCATATGCAGAGAGGCTTCGAGGACGGTGGGTACTTGATTGATCGCAATGGATTCAGAGTGGATCTGCTTGATGTGATCTGAAAGAGTTGAGCTGTCCTCATATATCACATCATCGGTACATATCAAGCGGCTCCAACATCTGTCATGCAGATGTTCTGCTCACGCCATATGATCGACCCAAGCTTTGCGGGTGACAAAAGTGGCGTCTGGCTCTCGGGGCACTTGTCGTAAATGCACGTATACGGGCATATGTCCTCTGTGAGATGTCTCCTGTGATTCTATCAGTCCATGGCGTCGACCATGAAATGGCATTATTCGTTACCTCCGCCGGTTACCAATCGAAAGCTCGCGGTTCAAGGTCTGGCAACAGCGAGGGCATTTGAAAAAATAGGCGCCAGGACCTATTTTTGGTGGATGGGGGTATCGAATTCGAAAGGTGATTGAGGAGATCTGAGAAAGTTATCCTGGAAGGTTTTGGTTTAATATCTTTGTCGTGGCTTCTAGTTTCGTGGCGGTTGAATTTTCCACCAGTGGCTTTCGTGAATTGGCGGCAAAGAAGTCCTCACTGACTGTCCGAAGCGATGTGTCTGTAATATCATCAAATATGGAAACATTGGGCAGGCAAGCATCCGGTTGTACAGTGAAGATCAAGTCGACGCGATAAGCCTCGGCCAGCTTTCGAGAATGCTTCTGAGCGTAAAGAAAGCGGTTTCGCCTCCTGAGGTTGGCATTAATCAAGCGTAGTTGAACAGGAGTTAACTGGTCTCGATCATCCCGGATCTCTATGGTCTTGAGAGGAGATGTATTTGTTTGACCTAAAACCCAGAATGTGAGGAAGGTTTCGAGGACTGAGTGTTCTGATACATTGAAACGGGAGTCCGATCGCTTATTCAGTACGATTATGGGAGGCAGTTACCCAAGGGATTTGAACGAAAAGACTGCCTAGAGGGCGGCCCAGGAAAGTCTTCTGCAGAGATTCGATCGTTCCTCGCAAAATTGGAGGTATCACATCATCGACGGCAATTGGGTTGCAGTACGGGTCGCTTTTTGGGAGTCCTTCAGCGCGTGGACAAAGTGATGGCATATCCTGGGGCGGAGGCCGACAAGCTGTTCGAGCGCTCCTCACTGCATCAACATTATGGGGCTGGAACCTATCAGACGTGCGGACGGGAGGGTTCTGTTCGTATTTGCCTGGACGCCATCGAGAGCAGTTGCGAAGATTTAGGTTGCGAAAGGAATGGGCCCGTTCAACGTATACGATACCCAAGAGGCACTCCACCTGCAGGCACGATGGGGGGAGGAGGTTCATACCCGCCGTCAATCCATATCGGCAACACGGGATCTGGGGATGCGGTGATGAGATCCGCCACACGTCGAGACCAAGTTGCGCAGAAGTACGACATTCTCGGATTTGAAATGGGAGGCGCGGGGATTTGGGATTTCTTTCCTAGCCTCGTCATCAAGGCCGTGTGCGACTATTCGGACAGCCACAAGTGGCAGCAGTATGCCTCAGTCGCAGCCTCCGCAGCCACGAAAGCATTCCTCGAGGAATGGAGGCCAGGGAGTGGAACATCCAGGGATTGAAACGTGATATCCGCAACTCGATAAAGAGCCTGATCAAAAACAACCGGGTTGGACAGTGGCATCGTTCGTAAGGCTTGAAGATCATCCAACCATTCAAGCCTTGATTGACAGCCGTACAGCCTTCTACAGTGCACGTCGAGCTTCGACCTGCGGAAAATGAATCTGCGCGTCGGAAATGCGTGTGCACGAGAGAGCATTTGCAAAGTGGGCTTTCCCACTCTCACAACAACAAAGCAATCGACCCACATACCAATTCCGTGGCATTGGTACGTCTCTGCTTGGGCGTTTCCACGAGTGGGGAAATCATCGCTACACACCAATATAACCCAAGATTCCCGGTCCGAGGTTGTACGAGAACGACCTCGGGATGGGAACTCTGTCAGAAGTGACGCTTCACGCGAGACCTGTTCGATGGGCAACATTATAGCCAATGCGAGGTTCCGACATGGACGGCCGCTAGGGAATTTGCAAAGGACAAAGTCGACGGCGGCTCTTGGGGTTTCTGACCAACATTCCGAAGCATATCTTAGATACTGCGCGATGTCGGAGGTCTAAACCACATCGAGATGCCTGCCGTGGGACTCGTTTTCCTAACCACGAGTAGCCACCGAATCCAGGCGAAGGTGGGTGGGCATCTAGGCCAAGGTACTCGCTACTAGCCCCAGCTATTGTGGCTACAAAGTACTCCGTACCCCTTACCGGCTCGGAGCTGCAACAAGCAACACATGGCCCTCCCCCAGGTTTCTGGTGAGACTAGCCACGAAGGCATCAACACTCCCTGGGCTCAAACATCCTCGCCTGGCCAATAGTCGAGGGTACAGGAGACTGGACACTTGCCCCGGGAAGTATCAACATCCCCCACCCAGCCACCAAGGCACCACCACCCAGAAGAAAACCCCCACTAGTTAGTTCCTCTGGCGACTTTTCTGTCTCTTTTTCCGTCTATTTTCCGTTGTGTCTCTCACAGCCGCGAGGCATTGAAAATGGCCTAAGGCCTAGTGGTTCTCGACCTGATGGGACTAACAGGTTAGCCACTTGGAGGCTTCTCTCCTTCCTGAACCAGGCCAGACCTGCTATGTTTCCTCTCGATCTTCGCTGCTATCATGAAAAACCCACCAATGATTGCCAAGTGCGCGGTCCTGCTGACTTGGAAGTCCAAGGGCGAGAACAAACCGCGTAGCAACCGCGCCTTGTCTTCAAGACCAAGAAGAAATCGAGGCAGACTATCGGGAGCTTAGATGTTCTAACAACCAGCTGGGCCGTCGGCCTCTTCGAAACCCGGGAAATGATCGCCTACAGCGAGGGGACCACTTACACACGTTCGGCATGCGGGAAATGGTTACCGCTGCACAAGGACGGGGGATTTTATTTTATTTTATTTGCATTGGGCTGCAACGACAAAGACCGATGCGACTCTACACATACAGCCCTTCGTAAAGACGTCTTGACCGTCAGCAGCGCAAGGAAAACACGATGCGCGAAGCTGAGGGTTGAGAACCAATTAATCCGAGGTCAGCCACGACCGGTTTCTTACACAAGCACCAACAAGGGTCACTCAGGCCCTCGGCCCTCGCGTAACCTAGACCAGGGGCCTTGTGGGAGGTGTCAAGTTTTCTTCTTGCTCGCGCGAAACTCTTTTCTTGGGCCGCTCAATTGACTAGACCCTGCCGCGGTGATCCCAGCTGCATGGCACATGGCGCTTCGGGATTCGGTTCAGCTCTCCGTATAGCTCTGTGATAAGCCCGGGCGAACCCAACAAAGCCTACTGGTCTGGATGCTGATTAGCCCCGAATTCCCAGAAGATGCGAAGTCAAAAAGATATGGCGCAGCTGACCCCACCAACCCATGGAACCCCATGGCGCCCATGGGTCGCCTTCCCTCTTTCAGGTCAATAGAGGGAAGAGCAGGTCATATATGCCCCCCGGCGGGTTTTCATGCTCGGGTCAGTAGTTCCAAGCCTTTCTCTCCCATCCAGAAGGGCGTCGTCTACAGCGACCTGAAGACACGACCATGATCTACGCTCGGTTACAGGTCGGGAGACCGACAGCGGGCGAGGCTGTGCCTCCTGTGCCCGACAACGTCGACGATGTCGCCTGCAACAGGGCCCCTTCTCGAATCAACGGCAGACTTAGTGTCCTGGACGACTCCATCAGACGCCAGGCTTTTGATACGGTACAACTTGGTCTGAGAGGTAATGTCGAGATGGCAAGAAGTTGTTGTTGTGCAGTGGGGCTATTCTGACGGTATAATAACAGGTGTGATTACATCTTCCGTGGGCTACAGGCATGTGCTCGAGGACATCATCACCCTGACCGATGTGAAGGCGGTGTCGGATTTCCGACAGACCACATGTATCAGCGAGACCGACACGCGCAAAGGTCGCCATTTGGACTTTTACTTCGAACTGCCCACCACGATTTCAAGCGAGGCTGGCATCTTCCGCCCTCTGCCTCTGTCAGGCGTCTTCAAGGGCACCACCACTGTCACCCAAAGCACGGCGCTGAACGATCACCGCGTCACGCATGGGGACTGCGAGGTGTCGTACTGGATCGAGGCCCAGTTTCGCCTTTCCGGGTTACAGGTCGGCTTCTTGAACCAGCACATCCAAATCTCGTCTCTGTACCCATGTCTACGGGCGACGCCGACAAGAGGGACCCCCTTGACGATCCGCGCGAAACCCGACATCCTTGCGCGCTGTCGGTTCCAGAAAATCCCGAGTCTGTCACTCACCTTGCCCGAAGCGGACCTGACGATCAAACGTGAACCGCAGACGGGGAAGCGACAGATCAGCGTGCCGCTCACCGTGGCCATGGATGCCTCTGAGAGTCTTCCGATGGATGCCCGGCAGTCGCTGAAATGCTCCGTCGAGGTCAAGTGGGAGGTGAACACGCGCTTCTCGATCACCCCGGGACGCCCGTCCGCGGCGAGGCTGAGGGCAGGCGAGGTCATCTACAAAACGACCACGGCGTCGACGCAGAAGTCGACCATCTTGTTCCGCCCGCTGCCGCAGTACGACGACCCCCGGCGCGCGCAGAACGCGAAGAAGAATCCCGCCGAGCCGTACGTCGCGACCTCTCAGCTCGACTTGGCCGTGCCCGACGCCGTCTCGCAGCCTTCTATAGACTTCAGGTATCTGTCGAGGACCTACACCCTGGATCTCTCCTTGACATTCCACGGCGGCCACGGAGCGCCCAAGTACTCCTTGCACACGAGCATCCCGCTCTCGGTCACGGCGTACGGGTCGAAAGCCGACGACGCGGCGAAGCACCAAGTCGTCGTGGACGTCTCGGAGATTAACCAGGGACTGGAGTCTGACGGGGAAGAGGATAATCTCGTTGCATTGCTCGCGCCGCTGGGGATGGGTGCAACGCAGCGGCAGCAAAGCCAGCGCACTACGACGAGGACACCGCCCCCAGCTTACTTTCGATGACATGCACGACCCGCCAGATCAGGAAGCTCTGTTGCCTCGCCGTGTATCTTTTAGCGATGCACCAGTTCAACATACTAGCGACGCCTTCAGAGGTGGCGTGTAGAAGCCATGCCTTCCCCCTTAACGTGGGAAGGGCACCGTCACTTTTGCGCAGCCAGTCTTACCAGTCCAACATGGCCCGGCGATATTCTCGGAGCGTCTTCGGCACAACCCACGCCTGCACCCCCCCTGCCAGGGATGCTCAACAATCTCAACACTTGCTCTCCAGCAGGATTTATCTCCAGACTGAGCGGAAAGAGATTTCCAACCTGATGTTGGGGGACTGAGGTTGTCGCTCGCAAGGCTGCATCTCAGCCTCCCACGCAGTCCGTCCACGGCGCCGCCGCCAAACCTTCAGGCAAAACATTTTCCCCGGGCTGCTGCAGATGTCCAGCCTGTCCTGCTTGGCGGCAACATCAACTTCTCACTCAGCGCGCAAAGATAAACGAAGCTTGAGAGGGACATCTGGCCCAGCCTACAGTAGCATGTTGCGCATCCCGCCGACGAAGACAGAAAGAGGGTGTGTAAGCTGATTTGACTGATTACCTACTATCTGAAAGCGGCGCGCGCAAGTCCTGCCACTAGGACTTGGGCGCTGACCACGCAGCGCGCACGCACCAACCGATACGAAGGCTTATCATCCCGCAGGATCGAGCCTATTCCAGGCTCTCACCCCCCTAACAAGAATTACGCCACAACGCCCAAGGACAAAGCATGTCGGGGAGCAGAGGAGACCTCCGTCTAGAAACCGTGCGATTATTCCACCGAAGCCCCCCCCCCCCCCACGACCAGCGCGACCTTCCCTATGCACCGAGGACACGGTAGTAGTACGCTGTCATTGAGATTGAGATAGCAAGGCCGTGGGGGTCGGGGGACTGCGATCAGTAATTCTTCCCCCAACACACACACACACACACACACACACACACACACACACACACACACACACACACACACCCGCCATTATCGACACAGGCGGGATTTCGCAGCAGGGCGCGTGAGTTCGAGATAGCATGCCGAAGCACACCAGCCTGCCGAACACACTAGCCTGCCGAAGCACCGGGCTGCCGAAACAACGTTAACGTTATGCTGCCGAGACACCGGGCTGCCGAAGCACACACTATGCTGCCGAGAACACAACAACTACACGAAGGCTGCCGAAGCACAGCCGCCCGCCATACCCGCGAGGACGGGCAAACCTTCCTCGAGCCAGGTATTGGAGCGATAGGTGAGGGGTTGGTGGACGGATGAGAGCAAAGAGACGAGTTGGATGGGCCTAGTGCCCTGGCTGATCGCCCGATGGACGATGCGCGATGGTTGCGAGAGTGATGGAGAGAGTAGAGAAGAAGGGAAGAGGACTCGGTATTTGGTATTTGGTCTTCGCCATACACACTCGATCCATCGCCCGTGCGTCGACGTGCTGCGGGCACATTTCACCGAGAGAAGACATTAATCAGTGTTGGGAAGGAGAGGAATGTGTTGGTCAAACATCTCAGATCTCAGATCTCGCATCTCGCATCTCACCATCTCGGACAGCCTTGATTGGCAAGAGACGAAGATGGAGATACCTCGAACCGCTATAGACGGCACAAGTTACAACTACCTGGGATGCATGGTGTTTTAGACGGAATCATAGAAAGCCGCTTCTCCTGCAGGGTATAGAAGGGACGGAGTGCTCGTAATCCTCTGTGAGAATGGACATCAGTATGATGTACCCAGTCAGGGTCCAGCGCAGAGTAATCTCAATGAGGGGGAGATGAGTTCATTTTGTTTTGGTTCTCTCACACTTCTCGCCGTCCCATAACGGTCGCAGCGTCTGTGTAAGCGGAGGGGGATGTTAGCTATATACATTCCAGACCAGCGTGTAGCGTGTCGTGTCTTGTCTTGTGTTGACTCGCTTCATTTGATATCGTGTCTCGTCGTGTCGAGTCATGTCACACCCAACTCCAACTCTTTTTCGGCGTCGAAATGGTCTCTCCCTGCACCCACCATATGCCTCCATATTTCCACATGCGTCATCTTTCCGTTTCTCACCACCTCGTTATGTCCCGTCCATCCGGGAATGGGCAAACGAACAGTAGCCAGGGTAGGGACAGGGACAGGGGCAGGGGCGGCGGCCGGCACCAGATCTCCGCGCCTCCACGCTTCCCCCGCAAAAGTAAACGCCACGCACGCAACACACACGGGGTACATACAATGCAATGCAATGCACGAGTGAATGAGGGGAGAACAACTAATACCAGTGCCCGTTACTATGGCACAGCACAGCGACATCCTAGCCGGGTCGTCGTGGTTGGGTGGTGATGAGAGGAGAAGTTGAAATCCCCACCGCTTGCCTGCGCCGGAAACACGGATGTTTTGGGGAGTGGCCCTTTGTTGAGGTCTACCCCTACACCCCTGCGTGGTCCTGCCGACCACTGCAGCTTCGCAACGATCATGGTTGAAGGACCGAAGAACCGTCGAACCGTCAGGCGGGGCACACAAAGGAAACCCCGCTTCCCCAGGGTTATCGATCGAGGGCTTGTTCCTGGCACTAGACCACCGACGGCTGTCAGCATCGACAAATTCCGACTCACATGCACGGGTGGGGGAGAGAAAGAGAGCAAGACGAGAGACAAAGGGGAAAAGGACACAACACTCGGCGACTTACCATCTGCCAGTACGCCCCGCGTCGGCTCAACAGCTCCTTGTGCGTGCCGCGCTCCAGGATCCTCGAGCCTCTGCCGGCCTCGCTCTCGCCAAACACGAAAATGACATCGGCCTTTTGAATCGTCGCGAGCCGGTGCGCCACCGCGATCACGGTCATGCTGCGCTGGCCCACCAGCCGCTCGATGGCGCCCTGCACGAGCTTCTCGGACTGTGAGTCCAGGCTGGAGGTGGCCTCGTCGAGGAGCAGCAGGGCCGGGTTGCGCAGCAGCGCCCGGGCGAGGCACAGGCGCTGCTTCTGGCCGCCGCTGAGCGACGTCTGCGTGTTGATGCCCAGCGGTGTGCCGAAGCCGTCCGGGAGGGAGACGATGAAGTCGTGGATCTCGGCGTCCTTGCAGGCCTGCACGATGGCGTCATCCCCGACCTGTTCGTCGTCGAGGCCCAGGACCAGGTTCTCGCGGATCGTGCCGTCGAAGAGCTTCGGTTCCTGCGCGACCAGCGACAGCGCGCGGCGGTATGACGGCATCTCAATGTCCTTCAGGTTGCGGTCGTTGAAGGTGATGGTCCCCGCGACGGGGTCGTAGAACCGCTCGAGCAGCGAGATCACCGTGGTCTTGCCACATCCCGACGGGCCGACAAAGGCCACGAACTGCCCGCTTTCGATCGACAGGTTGAGGTTGCGGTAGATCGGGCTGTCTCGCGTGGGGTATCTGAAGACGACGTCCTTGAACTCGACTTTGGCCCCCGTCTTCTTTTCACTCGGCGGCAGCGGCGCGCCCACCCCGGCCAATTTGGCATCGGCGTCAATAACGGATCGTGATCCCAGGATGCGATTGGCTGCCGCGGTGGCTCGAGCAATGTTAGGGGACAGACTCAGGAATTGGCCGGCTCCCTGCGCGCCCTGCACGATGGCCGCGTAGATGAGGAAGAACTGGAGGATGTTGTACTCGCGCCTGGCCAGAAGCTGTCCTCCGTACCTAGAGACCGTCCTGTCAGCTGCTTCGAGCCTTAAGGAAGATGAGCCTTACCAGAAAGTCAGAGCCATGGCGCAGAGCTCGACGCTATCCGAGAGCGCAAAGACAAGACAGCCGTGTGTCGCTCGTCGAGTCGCGTCTCGAATCTGTTCCTGCAGCAGATCCGAGTACTTGGTGATGATGGAGTCTTCCATGGTCAACGACGTGACCGTCCGAAAGGCGCCCACCGCTTCCGTTGCAAACTGCGAGCTGTGGGCAAAGACTTTTGCGTTCCACTCCTCGAATTGGATCTCGTATTTGATGCGGACAAAGGCGGCGACGAGGACAACGGGCATGGCGGAGAAGAAGGTCACCAGGGTCAACTTCCACCCAAAGTAGAAGGAGATTATGACGCAGCCGGCCATGTTGAAAAAGGAGATCAGTGGGAACACGCCGTTCAGGCCGAGCAATTCGCTGAGCAGTCTAAAGTCCGTCGCCAACCGGCCCATCAGCGAGCCCGAGGCGTTGCCTTCGGCGTCGAAGAATGAGATGGGATTCCGGAGGAGATTCACAAAGTGTTCGCGCCGATAGACGGACGAGACGAGCTGTGTCGTTCGTTAGAACCAAGATCCATCTTGCTCCCCCTGGCACGAACTTACCACGGAGACATGGTTGGAGAGGAACCCCAGGATGAAGTAGGCCACCGCCATCCCCAGGGCGAGAATGAAGAACATCAGGGACCAAAAGTCCCCTCTTTCCTTCAACTTGTGACCCGTGAAGGTGAAGACTTGAATTAGTTGAGCAAAAATGTAGCTTTGAAGCGAGAACGCGGCTGTTGCAATCCTGGTTAGTTTGTCTGTCGTCCGCGAAGGAATGCTTCGAGAGACTTACAGCCCGCTCCCATCGCCGCAAGCACAATCAAAACATAAAACACCCAGTACCCTTGCTGTTCGTACAGGATCCGGCCGACGGACATGATGAAGCCCCGGTTCTTGTAAGTTGTCTTGGTCTCTTCATCTTGATTGGCCGAGACGGCCGTGTCCTGCCTCTCGAGATGTTCCATTTCAGAGGCCTCGACGGCCTCGTTTGTCGGAGGTGCCGTCTCAGCCTCGAGCTGCTGTGCGTGCACGAGGCCTGCGTAGATCCCGTCGGGGATCGCGAGGAGGTCGTTGTGCGTGCCCTCCTCCATCTTGCGTCCGTCGCGCATGACGATGATGTTGTCGGCCTTGCGGATCGTGGAGAGGCGGTGCGCGATCACGATCGTCGTCCGGTTCTTGGACACCTGGTCCAGGGCTTTCTGGACGATCCGTTCGCCGCGGACGTCGATCGAACTCGTCGCCTCGTCTAGGATTAAGATGGAAGGCTCCCGGATGATGCTGCGCGCGATGGCGAGCCGTTGCCGTTGCCCGCCGCTCAGCTTGATGCCGCTCTCTCCCACTCGCGTTTGATAACCCTAACCCGCGTCAGTATTGGCCAGAAAAGTTAACCACGGTTCAAACAGATTTGCTCACGTCTGGCAGTTGGCGGATGAATTCGTCCGCAAATGCTTCTTGACAGGCCCTTTCGACTCGTGTCTGCTTCGCTGCATCGTCGTCCTTTTCCCACGCCGTCCCGTTCAGTCCGCACGCGACGTTTTTGAAGATGGTGTCGTTGAACAAGAACGGTTCTTGCTGGACGAGGCCGATCTGTGACCTCCACCACTTCAGGTTGGTATCCCTGATATCATGGCCCCCAATTGAGATCAGGCCCTGGTTTCGGGGCGGTCGCTCCTGGTCATTGTCGGGTTTCTCTGTGGCGGATAGGACCTCGTCCTTGTCGGGATCCTCCCTGTCCAGCTCGTACCATCGTTCCAACAATGCCACGATGGTACTCTTTCCCGAGCCTGAAGGGCCAACCAGAGCGGTTGTCTTGCCTTTCCTGAACCGAGTGTTGAATCCCTTCAAGACCTGGACCTTGGGACGACTGGGATACGCAAAGTCGACGTTGTCGAACTCGATATCATCGTGCGACGACACGTCTGGATCGGTCATGCCCTCGCACGAGACTCTTGGAGCATCGATCATGGAAAAGAACTCGGTGGAAGCGCCGATCGCTTTCGTAATGGCAATGATTGGGGTCGCGAGGACTCCCAACAGAGCCATGACGATCAGGACAGAGAAGATTACCCTAAGAGGTCGTTTAGCAGCGACGGAAAACAGATTGGTAGATGGCTTACGTGACGACCGTGCCGATATTCTTAATATGGCCTTCCTGGTATTGCTTGACTCCGAACCAGAAGGCCAGCGCAAAGCTGGCGTACATGGCGAAAAATCCCGGCGCCACCTGAGTGCCGTACAGGGGGGACATGGCCAGTCCATACTTTTGCGACTCTTGGACGGCCGCGTAGTACTTCTTTGTCAAGCTCTTCTCTGCGCCCAGGGCGAAGACGGCGCGGATCGAACCGAAGACTTCTCCCGCTATTGACGCCGCATTCGCATTCGTCTTCTCGACCTGGGCCATTCTCTTCAGCAGGATGGGGGAAGTTATGCTGTACACGATGACGACGAAGAGCATCGACGAACTCGCGACGAGGGTGAGAAGCGCCGAGTACCGAAAGGCAATCACGTAGGCGGTGATGATCAAGGCCAGAGCCATGAACAGCGAATGGAGCTTGTCCGAGATGCTGATCTGGATCATGTTGGACGACGCCGTGATGGTGTTGGCGACCGTGCCGGAGGAGACTTCGTCGAGCTTCTTGATGGGCTGCGCGAAGAGCGCCTGGAGGTAGGAGAGACGCAACCGGGCCGAGATGCGCAGTCCAGTAATGCGGAAACAGAACTGCCACGGTCAGTAATGGGGTTTCTGCATCTGAATGCAACAGTGGTCTTCTCGGAAAGCTCACCGTGGAGATGTAGGTCAGGGTGAACCTGCCGATGAATAAATAGACCAGATATAGCCTGCCACGGTCAGCATATGCTTCGCCTGGAGCGACCAAGACTCAAGACGTACGAGTTCTTGTTGACAGCTGATTTGAATGTGCTTTCGGTCACCGTGGAGTCTGGGACGAAATAACCATTGAAATCTTTGACAAGGTCCCCAAAGACAATGTTCATGAGAGGAAGTGCCTAGTAGCCAGCATATCAGCACCGCCACACGAACCCGCTCAAGACCACCTACCGTGCCGGCTCCAATGGCACACAGACAACTGACACAAAGGGCGAATCCATCTCTTTTCGAGCGGAAAGACAGTATTCGCTATGCTCTATCAGTGAACCGCAGGAAACAGGAAATGACAAGGACAATCCAGACGCACCCAGTAATTCGAGGCAGGAGGCCGGGCTGTCTTCTCTGGCTTCTCTTCATCCTTGACAGTGACGGTTGCATCTTCGACGATTTGCGCGCTGGCAACTTTGGTCTTGGCGACAGGCGCTTGCTCCTCGATGGCGCTCATGGTGAATATCACTGGTATGGGACTCGAATCGCCCTCCTCCGCCAGCAGCACTGATGTCAGTACTTTCTCACCGGTTGCAGGTCGACATATTACAACGGCGAAGAAAAGGAATAATAGCTGGAAGTCCTCATCGCCCTATAGTTAAGGCTGAATTATAGAGGAGCCAGGCAGAATCCGTTGGCTCAACCGACGGAACCAGAGACGCGACGACGGGGATCCATGGGCCTGGGAACGAAGCGAGATGGTTGATCCAGTGGGAACGTCGTGATTCGCAGCTGCCTGGACTAGAAACACACTGCACAGTTTCTCCACCCAGTCGATGGTTACAAGTCCTCGAGAAGGTCTATAGCAGGATGAAGAGAGGGGGAGACGCTGTGGAAAGTCGAGGGTTCTCTGCTGCCTGAATAGGACCTCCTAGCCATAGCGACATGTGCGAGCTCGAATACGATCACGGATACGACGATTCAAAGCCAAGAACTATTACTCGCAAGTTCATCTCGCTTAACGGGCTAGCCGAGCATCGACCTTTTAGAAGCTAGGACAAGGCAGACAAGGTTTGGTGGGGGACAAGGCTGACTGAGGCGCTGTACGTTGTACTCGTAGTCGTAGGCATAGGAGTTTAGCAGGATCATCACAGTCTGCAGTCAAATCACAAAATATATTAGAACGAGCATGCCCTATCAAGCCCCAAGGAATGCTTCACATTCAGCCGGACCCTTCAGACAACACCCCTCCCAGAACGAAAAGTAGTTGCGATCCCCCACAAGAATGCCCCCCAACAACAGCCATCATCATTGTCATAAACCTCACTTCCTCCCACCCCTAATCAGCAACGGCTTCCATACACTCAATCACATCATTTCGGTCCAGTTCCCAGTCCCCTTGTCGAACTTGAGGACAACATCCGGGATACTGTCATCGTTGATAAGAGAATCCCGGGCATGGCGACGGCTGTAGTCCATCCCCGCAGGTAGAGCTCGCTTCTTGTATTGTGCCTGCGACGAGAATTCCGTCCCAGAGTTACCCCGGAGGAGGCCAGCGGCGAAGATGGTATTACTACCCGCATCCCTCGTGGTTCCTGGACTGGCGCCATTTGCAACACCGGCATTGGAGGGCCATAGTTGACATTGGTTCACTGCTGAAGGCACGAACTGCCAGAGGTTGCAGTCGGTACCACCGCTCAGAAGGAAGGAACTGTGATACGACTGACAGATTCGCGCACAGTCGTCCGCCGTGGCGGGGGGTGAAGTAAAGCCGAACACAGGCGTCGCCAAGGAATACACTGGGCTGAGTTGGATCCCCGACTGCGAGTTTTGGAATGAGGCCCCGCATGATACGTACCAGATGTTGTCTCGGTTCACATTGATCGTGGCAGGGCCCGTACCACTGGCCCCATTGTAGTACACGCCGACGAAGGTCAACTGGTAATTGTTGTTGTTGCAGAGACCTAGGTCGTAGCCCGGAGCAAGGAGATAGGTTGCGTCCACCACATTCGGCACGGGTTGGCCGGTGAGAAGTCGTGCGGTGCGAACGCCACTGCCCACAATCTTGGCTGGGGACTGCCCGCCAGCCAAGCTAGGTGAGCCACCACTGTTGACCCGGTTGTAAAGGTAGCAGACCCTGGTTTGTGAGGCCCAGTAGGCAACAAGACATGTGCTCGTTCCAGCCGCCGTACAAGCGTCAATACAGCTCTCGAGCGAGTAATAGGTGCCCGACTGTTGAGTGACAGTACCACCGGTGCTCCCGGCATTCATCCAGCATTCGACTTCGTAAACCGTACTTGGGAAGTCAGCCAGGGCTACCTTTTGATAGTTATAGGCGCCCGTGGCCACGGGCAGCGGCTGGCTGGCCCCAGGGCTGACGTTGGCTCCAGCGCACAAGGTTCCTGTGGCTCCAGCAGCGACGGTACTGAGGGTAACTGCCAGGGCCAGAGCCGAATAGTTCGGACCTGCTGGAGGGGAGTAGGGAACAGTTGTACTGCTTGTACTGCTTGAGCTGCTGCCGGCACCAGGCGTTGTAGTAGTGGTAGCAGCTGGGCTAGTCGAGGTGGTGATTGTAGATGTTGCCAATACCGTAGTCGTCGTCGAAACTGTCGTGGCTTGCGCAGTAGTGGTGGTGGATGCCGAAGATGCCGGAGAAGACGCGGCCGATGTCGTCGACGAGGATACTACAGAAAGCGAAGTCAGTATACTTGAAGTAGTACTAGAAATTGACGATGCACTAGAGGCACTTGTGACAAGGGCAGTTGTAAAAGAAGGAGTAGTAGTACTAATTTGTCCCGTCGAGCTCGTCGTAGAGGTACTTGACACCGTCGAACTGAGAGTGGTGGAGCTGGCGACACTGCTGGCTGTGGAAATAGTCGAGCTCGTCGCCGTCGACGTGGTGACACCGGTGGCGGTGGATCCGGTCGAACCTGCAGTGGCAGAGCTTGGGGAAGTGCTAGTCGTGGAGCTCGTCGAGCCCGCAGCTGCGCTCGAAGAGGAGGAACTGGCTGGCACTGTCGAGCTCGTGGTAGAAGAATTCGGGCCGGTGCTCGTGGTTACTACAGTGGATGTCCCTGCAGCAGAGGTGGAAACTGTAGTACTTGACGCCGGTGAAGTCGCGGCTGACGTGCTTGAGATTGTGCTCGTACTCGAACCAGCCACAGAGGAGCTTGTCGGGGACGTCGAGGATGCGCCATTAGTGGTCGAGCTTGAGGTAGTTGGCCCAGAGTTGGCACTCGAGGTTGTGGTGCCGGCCGCACTCGAACTGGTTGGCGGGCTCGAACTGACCGAATTGGTCGTGGTGGAACCTGCAACACCCGTGGAGGTCGTGGCGCCGCTTGAGCTCGCGGTGACAGAGCTTGACGTCTGACCTCCTGCGCTTGTACTTGACGGAGAGGCAGAGGAGGCAATCGTTGTCGTACTCAGCCCTGTTAACGTTGTCGAAGTCAGCCCTGTGGAACTCGTTGTTGCCGCACTTAGAGAAGTTGTTGAACTCGACGCTGAAGGTGAAGAAGAAGAGAAGTTCGACGTGGTAATTGGAGTGACAGAAGCCGTCGATGTGGTTCCCGGAGAGCCTGCAGTAGTACCAGGAGACGAGGAAGCTAGATATCGGACAAAGTAAGTCAATATCCAGAACGAAGACTAGGCAAGAAGCAAATGTGCAAGGTACAACGCTCTTCCGTCTTTTACACCGGTAGAGAGAGCCAACGATTGGGATGGAACTCTTTCCGATAACAAATATCAGGTGGTGGCTCGTTAGATACCGCACGAGTAGTGATCGATGGAGAAAATGAAAGATCGAAGTAGACTGAGGATGCTATTGACGTACCCAAGGATGAGGTGGTTGAAGTGCCCGATGCTGCCGCACTGGAGGTCGCAGCACTAGAGGATGATGGAATCACAGTCGACGAGCTGGACACAGAAGTACTGCCAGGTGAAGATGTAGATAGGCTAGTCGACGCAGACGTGCCCAAACCAGTCGCCATCGAGGATGTTCCGGCATTGGTTGTGACACCACCTGCTGTTGAGGACACACCAACAGAGCTTGTGGATGCCGAGGAAGACGACGAGACTGGCGGTGCTGATGAGGCGGCTGTGCTAGCACCCGTCGATGCTGCCATGCTCGAGGTTGCAGCAGAGATTGATGTTGTACCACCTGAAGGACTGCTCAGCATCGTAGTGACGGCGGTGATTGTGCTCGAAGCTGAAACTGAAGAAACCATGGTCGTGGGTGCTGCAACTGAAGGCGTAGCGACTGAGCCAGCAAAGCCCGACGAAGTAGTGCCAGATATTGTCGGGCTTGACAACGCAGCAGACAAGGACCCCATCGATCCAAGCGAACCGGAAGAGAGGGCCATACTACTGGACGTAGAGGCAGCAGCCATCGAGAGCGCAATCGTACCACCAGGTGCGCCACGGAGAGTACCCAGGATTGAGGATGGACCAAAAGAAAACACAAAAAGACTAGGAGAACTATGAAAATCACAATGAGAGACGTACCGGAGCTTGGAGCAGAGCTAGCACTGGTCGTGCCGCCAATAGTAGTGGATGTTACAACGTTGCTAGTCGTAGAAGAGGCCGCCACAGAGGTTTGAGTCGTTCCTTGTCCTGTCGTCACCAAGGGGCTTGTGGTCATAGAGCTCGGGGCTGAGGAGGTCGTCGGTACCGGGTTGGTCGTCGTAGGGCTCGTTACGACAGTACTTGCCGACTGGGAGCTTGTTGGCAATGAAATTGTGCTTGATCCGCCGGGCGTAGTGGCTGGCGAGGAGGTACCAACAGTTGTAGTAGGCGCGTTTGTCGATGCCGAAGTTCCAGGCGCTGGGGCTGAAGAAGACGTAGTTGCTCCTACAGAGCTGCTGCTGGGGGACAAGGATGAAGTACTTGGACTGGGGATGGTAGTGGATGAGGAAGGAGAGGAAGACACTATACCTGCTGGAGTCGTCGAGCCGGGATTACTCGTACTCGGAGATGCGCTGGAGGAAGGCGATGGTGAGCTACTCGGGCTGGTACTTTGAATGCCTGGAGATGTAGAGCTTGGTCCACTGGTAGCTCCGCCGGTACTTCCACTTGAAGAGACGGCAGAGGAAGCGCTGGTCACGACCGGCGTGGTTGGCACTGCAGAAGTCGTGCTGGATTGCGCGACAATGACACTTGTGGAGCTTGAATGGGTAGTGATTGCACTCGATGAGCTTGATGGCGTAGGGAGTATACTGGTTGAGCTCGATTGCGCAGGGGCTATGCTGGTTGAACTTGACTGTGGAGGGACAACATTTGAAGAGCTCGTCCCCACCGGCGCAGATGATGGAGAGCTAGTAGACTCTGTTGCAGAGGTGGCGGGCGACGCATTAGAGGTGGTGGAAACCTCAGTAGTCTCGGTAGTCTGAGCCAGCGAGCTGGTGATGACTGGTGTTGAACTTGAAGGAGACGGTGTCGCTGATGACTCAGTCGAGGTTTGATCGCTCGTTGACGTCGATTCAGGAGTTGTCGTGGGCGATGTCGTACTCTCCGAATCGGTGGTCGTGCTCGTGGTCACTTCGGGGGTCGTGGTCGTCTCGGGAGTCGTGGTCGTCTCAGGAGTCGTGGTCACTTCGGGAGTCGTGGTCACTTCGGGAGTCGTGGTCGCTTCGGGGGTCGTGGTCGGCACGTCTGTCGAGGTTGAGGTGCTCGAGGCAATGGTTGTTGATGATGTGGTCACGTCTGGATCCCTGAACGGCACTGGACAAGCGCTGGCCACGATACCGCCCAAGGTGACGTTGTAGCAGTCGGGCCGCGGAGGAGAGGGGAAGCCAGCCCACACCTTGTTATCACCGCAGCGGTAGAAGGTGGCTGCGCCTTGGTCGGTCGAATCCCAGTTCAGAATGCCATTAACAAACGAAAACACAGTGGTGACGTTGTTGGTATCGGGATCAGGTGTCATGAGGGCAAAAGAATCGGTGGTGTTGCGGCCGACCACATCGGTGCCATCTGTCAGCTGTCCATGTTGTAGAAAATATCTGACTGCAACATCGCATGCATTGCTGGACCCGCCGTCACTCCCGGAAAGCAGCTCGGAGGCCTGCGTGCCTGAATCCTGTCTCTTTACTTTCGCCCCGCCGGGACCACCAACTGCAACGCCGACGATGACGGCTGATGATGCCGGGAGATCCGTCACGGTTCCAGAAGGCAGACCTTCGCCAAGAACCAGTGGTGGCTGCGTGATCGGGACTAAAATTGTGTTTCCTTGCGCATCAACCGACGTAGAAGTCAGGACTGGTGCCGGGGTAGGTGTTGTAACTGGAGGGGGGATCGGGGTGAACTCTGTCGTGGATGTTGTGGAGGTGCCCGAAAGTGTCGTGCTCGAAGTTAGCGTGGAAGTTATCGAGATGGACGTAGAGAGTGAGGAGGCAGGAGTCGCACTTGTGGTGATTGGCCCGACACTCGCACTGCCAGACGGAGTCGTTGATGTGGTTGTAGCTGAGGGACTGACGACGCTTGTTACCGTGGAGATGATGGTCGTGGTAATGTATGTGTTCGTAATATACGTTGTAGGGGCATTTTGAATCGTAACCGTATCACCGTTGCCGAAAAGGTTCACAATCTGCGAGGCTGACTGAAAGAAGGAGCTGTAGTACCCTGCTTGTACAACAACGACGCTGGTGATAGATGGCACCGGACAAGGTCCGCTGGGTCCGTAGGTGACCGTGGCCAGAGCCTGCGCGTTGGCTGCTGCAACTTGCAGAGCTAGGGAGGATAAAAGGAGTGACGATGACGGCCACATGGCGGGCCACCCTATTGCTTTCTTTTTATATGCCGTATTCTGCGAACACCAAGACTGAAAACAGGATTGATAAGAAGTGGAGGACTGCAGAACTCCAAACCAAACGAGCGACTGGCAATGGCAAAAAGGTGAAGGAAGAATTGCAGAGGTGGTTGGCTTTTGAGGAGCCACGCCCTTGGGAGACGCGATATCATAACAACACAACCAGAATGTTGCATTCCAACCAGGCTCCCCCATCGACCACGCCGCACGGGCCTGCGTTGGTAGAAACCAAGCGAAACCAAGCATTCAAGGGGTTCTCGTGTGGAATGAGGGAGCTCATCCTTGGGAACATGCCGAGATGAGCTCCTCGGGCGCATTGTTCAGCGAGTGGGGGTGCGCCACCGGGCCATTCTGGACTGGATGGAATGATGGCAATTCGCTCCTAATCCCATCGTCCAGATCAGATTCCTGAGTGCTCGTGGAAACACAGTGATGTTGGCATGAGAGAAATGGTAAGTGCGTTGCAGCCTTTTGAGAGAATCCAAAATGCTTAAACTTCAGTCCTGATCAATACGCAGGAACGGTGAAAGCTGAGATGTTGGTCTTGAGGCCGTGAAGAAACTCATCCTGCGAGCTCTGTGAGCAATCCTCGATCTTCTCCGGTTGTCCATTGTGCACTTAAACCTGGCAGACAGTCCATCGCGACCCACCTTGGGCTCTTGACGACAGAGACAGAATCATGAAATTGAGGAGACGAGAGTGTGGTCTCGCTGCTTGGACTCGGGTATCGAGGCGTTGGCGGTGTTGAATGAGTCCAAGGGATATAGAGCACAGCTGATTGGTATGTTGCTCCCTCAGATTAAAGTTCTGAGACTAGGCCTTTTCCAGCAATTGACGTCATTGACCTCTGAGGGCCCGATTCTGGCGTCTCGGAGCTTCCAGCCACTTGAGCTTGACTGCGACATGCGACATGCGCCCATCCCACGATGCGCGACCATGGCACCACATGGACTTGCATTAGCGGGCCTCAGATCGAGGTTACTTTCCTTGATTTCTACTTCCTGCTCCTTCCGCGAACTGCCAGATTCAGCAAGAGTCTGTCACTCATTCCTCACCGGACAATCCTACGCCTGACCAGGCACGCCTTTCGTTTCTCTCCTCTTTGCTGTCTTGCATCGCGTGCTCTCATGCTGTTGTTGGTATTCTTCTAAAGGGCTGCAGATGGTCAGAGCTGAATAACTCGTGTGAGCGCAACATTCTCACAGGATAAGCTTCAATTGTTTGTGCCAGTTACTCCGCCCAAACAGAAACTATCACTAACGAGACGAGGTTATTACGATAAAACGTAGCCCAGTAATCATGGCTCTACGGCTCCTCCTAGCGACGTCTGTCCTCCTACTTCGAGTGTCTGCGGTGCCGACCCAAGTGTCTCCAGAAGAGGAAGCGTTGATCACACCTGCACCCACTCGCACCCTCGCCGTGTACGGATCATATGCAGGAGCAAGGCGAAACATCGTTAGTGACCTCGAGTCAGACTTGGACTCGTACGTGAACTCGGTGTTTAGCGAGCTGGGGACGGCTATCCCCTCATATGTTTCCAATGGACTGCTCCCGAATCTGCAGAATCTACCCACAGGCAGTGCTGTCATGAGCTCGGTAGGAGTAAGTAGCTCGGATCTGGCTGCCACCCCTACTCAGGTATTGAACATCCCTGGGTATGGTAATTGGACTTCTTCGGGTTGGAATCTGCGAATGCATGGGAATGTGTTCAAGCAACCAAATATCTCCAATGCAACGGTGGACCGTCTTGCCAACTTTTTCCTCATCGGCACGAGCATCGAGGATCTTCCTCCGTCACAGCAGGCCCAGGCCCGCAACCTCACAAGAGAGATCTACGTTGTTCAGCAAGGGAATCAGACGGTCACGATGGACATTCTACCTGGTCCCGAGTTCGGTGCCAACGGGCAGCCTGGAGGTGGTGGTGGTGTGACCCCAGCCGGCGGAGAGCAGGTTGTAACCCTTCCTAACCCGACCACCCCGGAGGGCGACTTTGACGTTTTCATCCCAATAGACAACAACTCATTTACATTGACTCCGGGAAGTGGTGATATCCCACCACAAAGGTTGAATGTCTACGCCCAGGGCACTGACACGGGGAATGCGACATCGTACCTCGTCTCCGACCAAGGATTAACCGTCATCTCTGACATTGATGACATACTTCGCGTGACCAAGATTTACGAGCCCAAGGAAGGATTACTCAATTCTTTCGCTCGTCCGTTCACACCGTGGATGAACATGCCAGACATCTACCGTAACTGGTCTGTCAGTCTGCCCAACATGCATTTTCACTATCTCACGACCACTCCGGAGCAAGTCACGCGTAACTACATGCAATTCATCTACGCCACTTATCCAGGTAAGTGAGGTTTTCCCGCGTCCATTTATCTGTATCTCACCTACGAATCCAGGTGGGAGCTTCGACACCCGGCCACTGAACTTCAGTGACGTCTCTGCCACTCTATCGATTAGAAAATTCCTCTTGGACAAGATCTTTCAGAGTTTCCCGAATCGCAAATTCATCCTAGTTGCGGACACAAGCAATTCGGATGTCATGCGCGATTACCCCGAAATGGCGAAGCAGTACCCCGGTCAAGTCCAATGTATTTTCCTCCGCAACACATCCTCGACAGACCCCGGAGATAAATTTCCTTACAATACGGAGGGCTTCAAGAACCTCAGCCAGCAAAGTTACATGTTCTTCAAGGTACCGGACGACTTGACTGGGCTTGATATTGTGAATGGGCAGTGTCTGAATGCGACTATCCCGCAGAATCTCACGTTTGGATACCAAGGACTGCCGTTCGGGCTGACTACGGGCGATGGCAAAAATGGAGCAAGTCGACTACTGGGTGGTGGTACTTTATTCGAAAGGTTTGGTGCCGTACTGTTTTCCGTGTCATGTGCGGTTTCTCTTCATGTCCTATGATACTGACGAAGTCATTGTTCTTGTGCACGCGGTGTTTTCCGATGGGCTGGTACCGCCAATGTACAATGTGAGAAGGGATTGAGGCAGTCGAAGCTATGTTTTAACCCTAAAAAGCATTCATAACGGAGAGAGGCTGGGCCTTGTCTACCTGTTCTATAATAGCTATCTCTTACTCGGCATGAATATAATGAGGGGAACCCAGGATCGGAACTACCTTGATGAGGCGAATAGTGGTCGCTAAGATTGAAGAAGACTCGCCGAAGAAGAGTTTCAAGCAGTCAAGGCTTATTGTGCATATTCATTTTCCACAGCAAAGTCTGAGAGCTCAGAGAAGAGTCGCTCCCAAGTCTGAGGGAGAGGAGAGAAGACTAGAAGCTCAAGGCAACCAGCAGACATTATTCAAAGTGTAGACATACATAATGCCACAGCTGTGCACAGCTCGTCTTTACATACAGAGCCTTGTCTTGGCGCCCGTCTCTCAGCCTTGCGCGATCTTGACCAATTTCCAATGTTCCCTTGTCGATGGATTCGGTTTTGCTCAGTATCCGCCAGCTCGTTGATCCAAAGGTCATAGATCAACAATTAAACACCCTCTCCATCGCCCCAATTACCATCTCAAAGTGTCTTTGCCTTCGCTAACACTTGATACTCGCGCGGTGACTGGGCAACTTCAACTCACCCTCCTCATCGCCCCTCCTCCAGCAGCAGATCCATTTGACATACTCCGTTCATGATATGGTGCTAGCACCAGAGGCCCCTGATGCGGCAAAAATGAGTCTTGGTTCCTGAGTTGCCCCTTCCAGATGCCAGCCATGCATCCGCTCCACAATCAAGTCTCCTCGGCCCTGCAAACACGCCACAACATCTCCGTCAACCCCCACTGGCTCGACACATTCCTCACGTCGCGCGGCCCCAACCCGCCACCGCTCCCAGCCCTCATATCGACCGCGCACTTCCGCATTCTCGCGAGCGACATCACGACCACCGTCTCGCCGAGAGGCACGGCGGAAGCGTTCCCCGAAGGCATTAGCGACGTGAATGTCAAGGAGCGACGACTCGAGGGCACGGTGATCGCCCAAGTCCTCGACGTTCTCGACGTGGGCAGTAGCAAGTGGAGCCAGGTCGAGGCCATCGAGCGGGTCGAACGCGGCGAGGAGGTCCGCGGACGAGAAGTCATCCGCACGGTCAATGGCATGGGTAATGACAACAACGAGGGCGATGCCGGCAGTGTCAACGCCACCGCGGCACCCCCTCCAGGCGGGGGCACAATCGCTCCCTCGTCTACGACTTTGTCGTCCGCGGCCAAGAAACTCAGCGTCGGTCCCCACAAGCTCCTCCTCCAAGACGCGCGCGGCACCAAAGTGCTGGCCTTCGAGCTGGTCAAGATTCCCAAGATCGAGCTCTCTACTTCGGCGTCGGCGGCGCTCCCGCCTTCTGCTCGAAACCTCGGCACTGCAACACTGCCTGAGGACCCGGGAATGTTCATCGGATGCAAACTACTTCTAAAGCCTGACACCGTCGTCCGGAGAGGCGTGATCATGTTGACCCCGGATAGGTGTGTCGTGCTCGGCGGAAAGGTCGAGGCCTGGGACAAGAAATGGAAGGAAGAGAGGAAACAAAGATTAACCGCGTTGATCGGGGAAGAAAATGCCACTGGGAGTGGCTAAGAGAGGGACCGAACGAGGGAGAGAATCAGGAAGAGATGAGCGCCATCATCCTCAGCTGTTCAGTCGCAATTGGGCTCCCACAGGTATCTGTGTGTCTGCGCCTTGGGAAAAAGGAGGAGGGGGGGGGGGCAAGAGAATGCCGTCTCTTACGCTCTCAACCAGATCATCGGTCCCAGCAGATCGCGATCCGGACCTTGAAACACAATCATAAGAAAGTTCTGGCCTCTCTCCAGCAGCTTAGGCAGCAAGATCCAGTCTCCACGGCGCAAGCATCTTCGCTTTAAGAAAATCCTCCGCCCTGCCCGTCCCTTCATACGCCCTTGCTAATTCCTCCGCGGTAAGATTGCCACCCGGTGGGATCTGTCTCTCAGCATTGAGCACCGCCATCTCGGCAGCGTAAGCACCGTCGTCCTCGTTCCCCACGGCCTGTGCGAGTTCAAGCCAGCCTTGCGGTTGACCTGGTGCAAGCATGATTCCGTTAAGAGCATCTGCAACCACCGCAACCTCGTCCACTTGGCCAGTGGAGGTTTTCCGAGGCCGACACCCAACGATACCAGCCAGGACTCTACTGACGCGGATCTTGTCCAGCACTCCGATCTGGTCTCCACGCCTCAATGCCTTTAGATCTTCCTCTACAGCTTCCAGCACATCTTCATCGTTGTCCAACAGGCCAGTGACCGCGAGCAAAGCGACGGCCTGGACATGTTCCGGATGGTTCTCAATCACATCAAACAGCTGCGATCTGGCCGCCTCCTTCTCCTCCGCGCCACCCTTTGCCCACAGGACCTGGGCCAGCATGCAGACCACGTCTGGTTCCCGATCGGATTCCTGCAGCGCCACTTCAAACATTTTAATCGAGCTCTCAATCTGCTTCAAGTGACTGTGTGCAAGGCCTGCCGTAAGGTGTGCTGAAAGTCGCCATTTCCGGCGAGCTTCCGCATATGCCGGGCCAAGATCACCGGGTTCACCAGAAAGATCGAGCGCCGTCTCCGCATTCGAGACTGCTTCTTCGAACTCGCCAGATGCAAGCTGTGCACGGGCTAGATCGGCTTTCGCCTGCGCATACCTGACCAGGTACTCGTCCGACTCGGACTTTTCGTATTCGGCTTCCGCAGCGTCGCAGACTTGCTGCAACACCTCGACGCTCGTAGAATGATCGTCAACCCGTTCCGCAAATAGCGCCAAGAGGTGACTCGCGATCATATCACCGGGCTCCAGCGCATGAAATTGGCGCAAGGCGAAGAGCGGCCTCAACAACGCAGTGACCTCCTGGGACCGAGAAGGGTCCTTGAGCAAATGGTCAAACGCCGACAGCGCAAAGTGGCGTTTCGCAGGGAGGACATAAGAGTCCGCAATCTCGAACGCATGCATGAACAGTCCCCTAGCTTCATTCAGGCTTCCGAACAACATGGCCAGGAATCCCTGCCCGATCCATGCCTCTGCATATTCCGGATCCTCCGATTGCGCGCGCGTGAAAGCTTCACCTGCGAGCTGGGTATCGTTGCTCAGTAGATAGAGTACTCCAAGATTCGTCCACGTCCAAGCATTGTTCTCGTTCAAGTGCAGACTTCTCACAAACGAATGCTGCGAGACTTTGGGGCTCAGCGTCATAGTCACCACGCCCAGTGCGTTCCAGAAGTCGGAGTTGCCGGCTTCCAGCTCAATGGCCCGCTTGAAGCACGTCATCGACGCCCTGAGCAGTCTGCGAGGTCTCTTGCCTTGTAGTCTGAGGGAGGCGCCGCCGGAAACGTACGCTTGATGCTCTGCCCAGCCGAGGTTGTACCACGAAACGGCTTGGGCGAGTTGGTCGGACGAGGAAGCATAGACGGCGCGTTTCTGCGCCAGGATCGCGGCCACGAGATACCTGTCCGCTTTGTCCGTAGGAGTTGGAGAGTCGGCAGCGACCGTGAGGAATCTAAGTTCGACCTTGTCGGTTTCTGCGAGAGTGTTGAGTTCGTCGTGAAGCGAGATCTGCAGCAGATCGGCCACCGCCTGAACGTTTACTGAGTCCGTGTATAGTTTGACATGCCCCAGAACAGAGCACGCATCGCCGACGGTTTTCCACAAGTTGAACACGTCCGTGCCTTGCTCTGCGATCTGGCTCGCCAGCTCAATGGCAGACGAGGCAAGTTTCGCCGCCTCGCCAAACATGCCCAGCGCAACCTTTGCCCAAGCACTCTCGGAAAACGTCTGGAGCAAGGCGATGAGCACCCCAAACTCTTTCGGCTTCAGCACAAGGATCTCTCTATATGCGGCGATGGCCTCGTCAAAGGAGCCCATCTCTCGTTGGACATTGGCAAGCATGTACTTGGCGAACCAGGTCTCCTCGGGCGACAAGCCGTGGTCAATGCTCGCGGCTTTGGCAAACGCTCTCGTAGCAGCGACGTGTCGTCCTGCGTTGTGATAGCTCTCGCCGAGTCCCACCCAGGAGTGGTAGTCGTCAGGCGCGATCCTCAGCGCATGCTGGAAGGACACGATCGCTTGCGCGTAATGCTGTTTGTTCATCTGCACAACGCCCAGCGCCGTGAAGGGCCAACTGTGCGCTTTCTTCTTTGAACCCGGCGCCGGCCTGGCTTTTCCCGACGTCACGACGCGTTGGGCGACCAGTTCCACGAGATCCCATTCTGAGTTGTCGGCAAAGGTCTTTGCGAGGCGGTGCGCAGCTTCGAGCTCCGAGGTGGAGAGCTCAAACGCCTTTTGCAAGGCGACCCGGGCTCGTGCTTTGCTTCTGCCGTAGTCTTGGAAGTAGATCCCCAAGAGGGTGTATGCGGGTGCGTAACTGGGGTCGGCTTTGATGGAGGCGATGAGGAACTGGTATGGCCCAGACTTGTCTTTTCGAGCGGCCGCGGAAGTCTCAATGTGCCAGTAACAGTACGCGATGCGGTAGAGCGTGACGGATTTCATGCTCAAGTTCTGCTGCCTTTCCGATTCGATAGCTGATAGCACCTCCTGGAGCTCTTCCAGGCCGTCGCGAAGTTGTCCATTGTGCGCACGGCACCATGCAAGCTCGATCTTGATCCTGGCATTATCTGGATCGCGTTCAGCCGCTTGGTGGAAGAACTTGACTGCTTCCGCATAGTCCTCGTCGTCTTCGTATATCAACCCCACACCCAGCAAAGCAGCAGTAAGCTTGGGCTTTCGCCAGAGAATGTCTTGGAACAGTGCTTTGGCTTCGGGATGATGTCGCGGTGACTGAAATGTGATCAAAGCATTTGCAAGGATGAGGTTGACACCGTCGAGGCTGTTTTGCAGGTCTATAGCATAGCGTCGCTGAGCGTCCAAGTGCAATTTCTGAGCCTTCCGTGCAATATCGACGGTGCTTTCCCATTCTTTCAAGCGGAGGTAGACATGCGCCATGATTCGATGCCCAAGCAACGACTCCGGACAACTCTCAAGGCCTTGATTCATTAAAATGAGCTGCTCTGCTTCACTCAGCTTCTGGGGTGTCTCTTCTCCCTCCTTCTCTTCAACTGGTAGGTGCGGAAATGGCGAGGCGTCGCTGTCGAGAAAGCCTTGGAGAACCTTGCTCAGGCCGTCCTCAGGGAAAAAGCCCACAAACTCGCGAAAGATGTTGACATCCCATTCTTGCAGCTCTTCGGCATCAACCCACTCAAGGGCGACTTTCCAAGCCAGGAGAAAGGGGTGTTTGATGATGACCATGCCGTTCGCCATATTCAAGACCTTGTCCCGTTGGTCCGGCTTAGATTCCTGGGGCAGGACAAGCAAGTTGTCGAACATGCGTTGGAACAGTTTCTGTTCGAGATCGTGGCGGGTATCGTCGTCCCTTGTCCAATCAATGAGAGCAGCGTACTTTTCCTCGATTTGAAATCTGCTTATGGCCTCGCATTTAACTTGTCGAGTCACCTGCTCAATCTTTGCGCCGAGACGCGTTCTTCTCTCACCAATCTGCGTGTTGACCCATTCCCTCTCTTCAGCTTCTGCCGACTCCAGAATGCGTTGGTAAGCCAGGCTCGGTTGCAACACACGGCCTTCGAGTGTAGAGTAGAGGCTTGAGGTCGGTAGAATGAGCTCGAGAGCCCGACGGTACTGTGATCGGCTGCCATGCTTCTTTGCAAACAGCTCATATTTGTCAATAACGTTCTGGCATTGTCCTTTGTCATCTTGCCCGGCGTATATCTCTGCCAACTTGAATGCCACATCATGATATTGGTTCAATTTGGCTTTCCCTTGCTTGTCGTACAGCGTCACTAGCCCCTTGTAAGCTTGGACGTCGTCGGGTTTGACGGAGGCGGCTTTGTGCAGGGCTTTCTCCGCAGCCTCCAAATCTCCAAGCTTCTCTCTTGCGAATCCGAGGAAGAGGGAGGCAGTGTAGTTCTTGTCATCTTGTTTGAGCAAATCTTCGGCTTGCTCGGCGGCTTTGGCAAACTGGCTGGCGTCCAGAGAGGCTTTGACCGCCTTCAAGGCAGCCTTGGACGAAGCCATTGGCAAGAATTTGGCAAATCGACGCCCTCACACAAAGCAGATGACGAGGAATCAAAGTGTCTCGCCGCAGTTACGCGTTGAGGAGGAGGATTTGGCCAGATCACGTTGTCGGATCTACTGCCTCACCTTAGACTGGCGCCTCTCTGAATAGCTTTGCCCGTTACACAGAACAACAGCACCTTCCCCATATTGATAACTTGATCTCGGAGCTGAGCCTGCTTGAACTGATTTTACACGATCGTGAAAGAAAAGGACGAACAGATGAAATCATCACGCTCATCACGTGTACGGAGTGATCTTATATGAATTGTACTCCGCCCAAGTCTTGGCTACGGGGAAGCATATAATCACACTCCCCTTCTCGATATCTGACAGACTGACACGCCCGACTCTCCTTCTTACACCAAACGTCGACCTTCTCACTCCGTCCGCTTACTACGCGCACTTGGGACATACTGCCGCTTCTCGAAGTGCAAACTATCTTAAAATTTGGACCATTTGATGAAAATGGGGTATTCGTCTCGAGTCCATCACTGGGCCCCCAAAACAACCATTTCGAGATCACGCGTCGCTTCACAGACCAGGGAGGGCGTTGTGTGATTATCTCTCCGCCGGTTATATGGCTCTATTGAATATGCGACGCCAAACGTTGCTCAAGCTTTGCCCTTCCCTTATGGGACTGTCGTTGGAATCAATGCATTCATGAGTCAGGCTGGATGTTGTCCTGACACCATATGAATCTGGCTGAAACATGGCCTGCTCGGTGAATTCAATCCGGTGTCATCAGAACTAGGCTTTAGGGGATCAACAAATGACAACACGATCCTCCGAACTTGAAGCCCTTCGGTTGCCTTGTAGGGATGACGAGGTAAATCAGAGATGAGCAAATTTATCTAACGCCTGGGTCCACTCTGGCTGTTATCCTACAGTCGAGATTTGACAATATGCCACAATCGGTCTGGTTCGGCCAACTACATGTACCTCAAGCAGAAAGGCGTCTCGGAAACATTTGGACTTTCTAAGCCTCAAAGTGGTGGTCCTAACAAAACGTCGGAGACTCGGAGAGTTTTCGCATATCTATCCGATCCGCCGTCGGAGAGTACCTTAAGAAGCTGGTGAGTTAAAGGGGCATTTATAATGCGAAGGCCGCACGGGTATCGTCCATCCTTCTGCACCTAGACAAGGTGAGCTGCTTGGACCTTCAAATACCCAAGGCATACCCTGAACAATCCTCCGAAGTAAACACATCCGTTCTTCTAGCTTCAGTACAGACGGCACGACATGGACCCCGCCCAATTCGACAAAATGTTTTCTCAAGCCGACCGTATCATGGGCCCATTCGCAGAAGTGCTCCTTCGGCAAGCCAATTTTCCACCCATGGCCGATTCCCGGCTTGTTGTCCTTGACCAGGCGTGCGGAAGCGGTGTGGTTTCCTCCCACATCATGTCAAGGCTCTCCGCAGAAGAAAAGTCCAGACTAGATCTCACATGCGCCGATATCTCCGATGCAATGATATCAAATGTATCAAGACGCATCGAGACCTCAGGCTGGGACAATGTGTCCGCGGTAAAGACTGATGCTATGGTCTGCTATGCCCACCCTCTAAACGTTTCTGCCCGGCACTGACACCGAGTTGGCAGGACACAAAATTTCCCTCTTCCCACTTTACGCACATCTTCTTCAACTTCGGCCCACAGATTCTATCCAATCCGCTCGACGGCATTAGAGAATGTCACCGCATTCTACGGTCGGGTGGGGTCCTGAGCTGCAGTACCTGGCAAGACGTCCCGTGGTGGGCGGACTACCGTGCAGGAATCGCAAAGGATCCCTCGCTGCCTCCATTCCCGTCCGATGAACAACTCGGACATGCATTCTCCGACACCACAGAACGCTGGAATAGCGTTGAAGACGTCAAAGCCCATATGCAAGAATGTGGCTTTCGTGACGCTGAAGTCCAGGTTGTGGAGAATACCACGAAGATGGACGTGGCAGAGGTCGAAGCCATGTTGCCATACTCTCTGGACATGATGGTCCAGAAATTCTGGAAGGACAAGTTCGAGCAATTCAAGGAGCCTGCACGGCGGGCCATCTTGGATCACATGAAGGACAAATACGGGTCTGGGCCGGTTGTGTGGAAGTGGGTGGGCATAGTCGCCGGTGGCCGGAAAGGATAAAAGCCTCGATGGTCGCCAAGATGGGGAATGTCAGAAAACACAGACAGAGACCACATATTGTCCGAGCCAGCCCAGCAGGTATGATGTTCATTGTGAGACTTCCACAACAGATATCCCGCGCGGACATCAATGCAGCAATAGAGTTAGGCTCTAGCGAAGAAGAGATATACATAGAACTCTGAACCACCTACGCGCGTCGCCTGATACGAATAGGGAGCGGGCCCGGGTTTGAGTTGAACCGCTCAAAAATCAACAGTTCCTGCCCTTCCCGCTCGAGCTGTATGTCATACCGTCTGACCAAACTGGAAATCAGAATCTGCAGCTCGATGATGGCGATGTGTCGGCCCAGACACGCCCGAGGACCCTGGCTGAAGGGAATATAGTAATTGCGCAACGCCTCCAGTTGGACGGGGTCGTCCTTGTTCAGCCACCGGTCGGGGTTGAAGCGGTCGGGTTCGGGGAAGACGGTCTCCTTCCGGTGGATCGAGAACGGGGGCACCGCGACCACAGTCCCCTGCTTGATATGCCGGCCGGCGATGATGGCTCCTTCCGGGGCAACCACAAGGCGTTGCAAGGGGTACGCGATCGGGGGTCGAAGCCGGAGGGTCTCGTCTATACAAGCGCGAAGATACGGCAGGTCCCGGACCAGGTCATAGGGGAGAATCTCTTGAGGGTCGTCGGGGCTGACGCGTGAATCAACCTCAGCCCTCAGCCGGCTCATGGTCTCCGGGTTGGAGAGGAGGTGGTAGATGGTGCTCGTCAGTCCGGCGGCTGTTGTGTCGCTCCCCGCGTTCATCAGCACTTGCGATTCGGCGACGAGCTCGCGAAAGGGGACTGGTCGATCCGAGCCCGCCTTGTCCTTTAAAATGTTGGCGATGAAGTCCTGGGTATCACGTTCCGGAGGTCCTTGCTCTAAACGCTGTGATGGCGTTGTTGTCAGCACCGACCTGACCAGTCTCCTTTCATCCCAGGGCGTGCTTTTTCTTTGCTCACCTTGCGTAATTGGTATATGCAGAGATTCTCAAAGTCATCGGCGTCTTTAGCGTGGGTTACCCGGTACCCAAGGGGAGTACAACGAGAAAGCGCCTTCAGCCAGGGCACCGTTCGCGGGGAGACAACTTGAGCGACTGTCAGGCTGTGGCGGACGCCTTGTTGTAGAGCATTAATCAAGCTCCCGACCTCGTAGGATATGCCTCCTTGGGTCTGCGCTTGCCTCGAGTCCCCGCCTTGTGTCAGAAACCCGGTGCAGTATCCAAACGCCATGTCCGAAATGACGTCCAGTGTAAAATAGTTCAACCTGAAATCACGTCGCGTCAGCCTTGTGGGTGGATACAGGTAATGGCTCATGGGTGATCAGATATATACCATTGACGGATGTTGAACGACTGCTGGGCTTTTGGGTCTGCCTCAGATGCAGCACAAAATGCATCGATGCGCACCAGCAAGTTCTTGAAGTTCTTCCTGATGACTGGTTCCATATCGACAACAGTCTTCAGGGCAAAGGAATTTGCGAGATACTTTCTCTTGCGACCGTGGTCATCGTGGTCCCTCGTGTTGACAATGTCGTGGACGTCGCCGGCAATCTTATCGTAAAACACATCTTTGACGATTTTCCTTGCTGCCAGGTGGCCGTAGATGTCCTTGACCGCTTGAGGATCGTTGAACATGAGCATGTTCGGCGCGACGCGGAGCACGTCGTCTTCGCATTTGGCCAATTCTGCGTGTATTGTGGCCGACCGCCGTTGCATCCACGTCTCCCACATGAGCCATAACGGAGTGGTGGCAGCAAGAAAGCTGGGGGCTCGATACTTCCGCAGATCCAAAGGATCCAGCCAGAAAATAACAATGGGCCTCAGCAGAAGGAGCACGGCACACGAGAGTGCCACGAGAGAAACGGCTGCGACTGGAGTTATCATGGCCGTGACTGCATGGGCTGGAAGATACTACCCTTGCAGACATCTTCCTCTCGATCTCTCCCCTCTCGCGTGTATATAATATACGCATCTTCGGAAGTTGTTCGTCAAGGTCATCTACACCACGAAAGGTTTCTATCCAAGAAAGGGAATTGTGTACGCGAACCGTGCCAGATTCGTTACTACCGGCAAGCGGCATCCATGATCGTCACGGCGATGGCGGAGCTTCAACAAGCCTCGGGCACTTTTGCTATTAGCGGTAAGGCGGGCAGCGGAGTAGAGAAGCAATGTGAGACTCCGTTCTCCCATTTTTCCTTCTTAGGTCCAAGTATCGCTAAGTGCATACCACAAGGCCGAGGGGCCCAAGTTCTCGTTCACTTTTACCACCTTTGATTTGAGAGATGGGCAAAAGAGCGCACAATATCTGGTATGCCATGCGGATTGTTCGCTGTAGGTGTCCACCAACGCTAAGCTGGGTAGCACAAACTGTCAAGAACGTCATCTGAAATGTAAGGTGGGAGCAAGCTTGGTTACAGGATCTGCTGCTGACGGGCTCGAGGCGATGGCGACGTCTCAAGCTGCACGCCCTGCAGGCGTTCGGACCTGCGCTGCGTCCCAGCACCGCGGTTTGTATTCAAAGGGGCCAGGCGGAGAGATAGTATCGCGGCTCGTTCCAATCCCCAGCGCCATCATCCACCTCCAGCATCCCGGCAATCACGATCAAAGTCATCCAACAAAGGTAAATGCTGGCAGGTTGCTGCCAAAACTGTCTGAGGACGACGTAGTTCGGTAGAGCCGAGTCTGGAACACATACACGATGCTAACTCTTGCCCTCTCGAAACCAAGCCATTCGCTTCTTGGACGAAACTGAAGAGACTACACGGCTGTTTGCCACCTCCCAAGATCAGAACCCTGAAGGAACCGCAGCATCGTCTGCAGCAGACGGTATCGAGGCGGTGGCCAAACATTCCCGCCCCCCTCCACCATCATCCGCCGACCCGGACACGGAGAGAGAGTTCGGGCATGACAATGTATGTATGCAGCAGCATGATGCGAACACAATCAGTGCTCCTAGAACGAGCGCCGTACAGTCCTTGAGCATTCCAGGATTCCCACTTGACCGCAGTTTCGGGATGCAGTACCTTGATGCGCCGGAAGAGCAGGCCGAGGCATTGCCTTTCGCGATGCCGATCCATCGCAGCCCTTCTAGGACCGACACCACGACGACAACGGGCGTCAGCGTCCCGGAAGCCTGGAGTCCATCTCCATGGACTGCAAATGACATCTTTGCCAGCTCGAGCTCTCTTGACGCTGACCGCTATGCTGTCCGCACACCACCACGGCGTAGTGGACAAACCCTCAGCTCGGACTTTGGGCCAAGAGAAGCACAGTTGCTGAGAACATTCGTCCAGGAATGGGGACCTTTGCTGGACTGTACAGATGCGCAGAAGCATTTCACAAACGCAATCCCTCAACTGGCGCTGAATGAGTCCGAGTGCCTGTTGTATGCGATATTGACCATTACAGCTCTGTACCTCAGTCGGGTATCCCAGTATCCTTCGTCGGCGGCTCAAGCTTACCGACAGAAGTGCGCTCGGGCGTTGATACCGATCTTACAAGAAGATCCTACCAACATGCATGAGGCGAGCATGTTTGCGACCTATGTCTTGCTGCGAGTTTATGACCATCTGACAGGTCCGCATGTCGAGCGTTCTCCAATGCGGAAGACTCGTGGCTGACTTCTCTTTAGTGAATTTTAGCAGTGAAAGAGTTCCCGACACAATATTTACGGAAGGGCTGGCACTTTCTACAACACCCTGGAATGCGTACGCCACACAAGCATCCCTCAAACAAGCCGCGTTTTGGGTCCATTTGCGACAGGACATCCACGTGGCATTATTGCTCGAATGCCCGGTCAACGTCGACTACACCTTATATACACAGACGGTGGCCGTTGCACAAACCATCACAGAGCGGGGCACGGTTGACTGGAATGCGGATCGAGGACACGAGCAGGATGGTTCGGCGGCGACCAGCGCCATTGTGGTCGAGTGCGCTTGGGCGAACCGAATCGTGGGCATCGCGCTCAACGTTGTCAACTATTGTTACAGCGACTCCGAGAAGACGGTCGACCAATGGGCCACGCTTCTTGTGTCCCTCGAACGATGGAACATCGAGAAACCGCCTTCTTTCTCGCCTTTCTTCGAATGCAAGCCGGCCACCTCGACGGGCGAAGGGTTTCCCCACATATACTTAATGAGCGACTGGCACGGTAAGCAATGCCTCATGAGGATGGAGTATCGTCGTCCAAGTTACTGAGCCACCGGGAGATAGTGATCGGGCTCATGTACTACCACCTGGCCATAGCCATGCTGAAAATTCACCACCCAGCCCGGAAAACGAACAAGTTGGGCTCGTCAAAGTTCTTTCTGAGCGACGACAAGGCATGTTTCCTCTTCCCGGCAGCCGAAGAGAAAGATCCGCTAATCTGAATACCGTGGTTAGGAGGAGATTGCTTTCTATGTGTTGCGGCTATGTGGGATTGTTCATTCCAACCCGATCCCCCAAGCCCTTATTATCGCAACCGCGATGGTGAGCACGGCTCGATACTCCGTCCCATTACAGAGGAGGGGCGCTTGCTGACACCCTACAAAACACAGTTCAATGCCGTCGGGAAAGTGTTGACGGAATCTGCCTCCCAGGCGCAGATGCTGGAGCTATTAGAGAAGGCACAGAGAGACACTGGGGCTCCCATTAGCAAGGTCCAATCAAATCTGAAAAAGGCCTGGACTTCTGCAAGTCTGCACTCGACGTGATGCCTTGTCGAACCGATGCTATGCGAAGCCAGCTGACTCGTCGCTCCACACAGGTTGTTCTCAACAATCGGGATTAGCTCAATTGTATATAGACGAGGACAGAGAATGTGCAGCCACTGGAGCACAGACAGATCAATTACTAGTTCACGTGGGTTCACGACAGCGGACAGAGCGATGGCCTAGTCCAAGATTCGAGACAAGCGCTCATTGATCTGTAATGATCTCAAATTGGTAGACCGAAGCACCTCGAAAGTGCGTTTTCCAGGAGAGCTCGAAACCCCAAGGGTTCCGCATTGCTTGCCGGCACACTGGCAGAACGAGAGGGCGGATGCATCTCATCGGAAAAGTTTCGGACACGACTCTTTTGGTATCCCGGTCCTGGTTTGTTTCCTCCTGTTTTCCGCAGACATTTGCCTGGCCGGAATGCTTTGGTAGGTAAGTGATTTCTCGCAGCACAAGCCTGGAAATCTCGGTGTCGCCCGAACCCCCCAGGACAAGCCGCTATTGGAGAAAACATGTGAGCTTGATGCCGCTTCTTGTACAGCGCGGCAAGCCAAAGATGGTCATCCAGGCTCGCCGACTAGGCGGATAGGTGTCCAGCCACGAGTCCTAACGTCGAAATCCTGGAGAAGAAGGAACAGGCTGGCCCTCTGCACTCCGCATCTGGGCTCCCCGGTGCGGATACTCGCCTGTGCATCATTCCCACAACCCTCAAACTATGTTCCCCAGATCTAGTCTACTTTCAACGAAGGGGGAAAACATGCCCGAGAGACCAGCGCGGTTCGTCCATAATTTCCCAATTTTGCTTCGATCCACCCCCGGGGGGGTGGGGGACAAGGGCGAGAGACGAGATGGACTGACTCCGTGTCGGCCACCTGACGAACCAGCCATTCTTGATGTCTCTCGATATTGTCCGAGGATATAATGGTCCTTGGCTCCCAGCGATCTGGTAGAGAGGCACCACTCGACATTCTGGCCAACGGCTCAGCTTGACGATTCCAAACAATTCGACCACCATGGGGAAACAACGGTTGTTCGGACGGGGTTTGCGGCTTCGCATCTTCGTCACGATTGCATGCGAGATGGGTAACGCTTCTCCTTGCTCCTGTTTCGTTGATCATATGGACTGACTGTGGACCTAGCATTCATGCTGATGGGTATGGCCATATACATCTGCCTCCCAACTCAGGCTAGCCAGCGGGTTTTCTCTGACTTCTCCAGGCTACGACCAAGGCGTCCTGAGCAGTGTCGTCTCGAACGAAGACTTCCTCGACAAGATCGATCACCCCGACGACGTGCATCTGGGTATTATTGTCGCCACGTACAATCTGGGTTGCCTGTCCGGCTCGATCCTCACCTTCTTCCTGTCCGAGAAGCTCGGCCGTCGGCGATCCATGTGGCTGGCCATGAGCTTCATTCTCGTAAGGGGAAAAACCCCGATGCCTCTGCTTTTCGGAAGATTTCCTTGAGAAGACGCTGACTCTGACGCAGGTCGGGGCAACGCTGCAAGCAACTGCGTTCACGCGGGCTCACTTTGTGGTTGGGCGCTACATCTGCGGCATTGGGACGGGCATTGACACCTCGACCGTGCCAATGTACCAGGCGGAACTGTCGCACGCGTCGTCTCGCGGGCGCCTCGTCAGCTCAGAACTTCTCTTTGTTGGCGTTGGTATCGTCACAGCGTACTGGTTCAACTATGGCATGAACTTTGCTGCTGGGTCGGAATCCTGGCGACTGCCCATCGCTTTCCAAACCGTCTACGCTCTCGTATGTGCCCTCTGCTTCCTCTGTTCCCCTTGAAGATCGGAAAAGAAAGAAAAGCAGTGGAAGTGTCTCATCGGCCCCAATTAACCACTCGGTTGCGACCTCTAGATCACCATTGTCGTCGTGTTCGGCATTCCCGAGTCCCCCCGATATTTGTGCAAGATAGACCACTTCGACGAAGCGCTCGAGGTCCTCTCGGCCGTATGGGACAAGCCCAAAGACGACCCGGCCATCCGCAAAGAACACGACGACATCGTGACCGCGCTGGCGATCGAACGGGAGCACGGCGAATACAAATGGTCTCAGCTCCACAAGTCCGACCGTGTCCACACCACGCGACGGGTTGTTCTCGCCTATGTGATCAATTTCATGAACCAAATGGCCGGCATCAACATGATCGTGTACTTCATGCCGACAGTGTTGCAACAGAACGTGGGCCTGTCGGCAAACATCTCCCAGGTCTTGGGTGGATGGTAAGGATGCCACGTATCCTCTGCGAAGATGCCCGAACTCAAGCTCACGCGTGCCTCTAGTATCAACCTCATGTTCCCCATCGGCGCCCTATTCCCGACCTTCCGGGCCGACACATACGGTCGAAGAAAGACCATGATGTGGGGTTCTTTCGGCCTCGGATGCTGCATGATGATGATCGCCATCCTGCTGAGCTTCCGGGGCAAGTCTGCTGAGAAGCCGACGTCCAACGCCGCCGTGGCGTTCTTCTTCCTGGTACGTACCGTGTCCTCTGTCCCTGGATCCTTTCCGCGTGCCAGAGCACTGAGACAATGTGGCGGGATAGTACATGCTCATCTTCGGCGGCTCCGTCAACTGCATCCCCTGGGTCTACGGGCCGGAGATCCTGCCCCTGCACGCCCGGGCCAAGGGCAACGCCCTGGCCGTCAGCGCGATCTGGCTGTGGAACTTCTTCGTCGTGATGATCACCCCCGTGGTGATCAACCGCATCCAGTGGAAGTCGTACCTGATCTTCACCGTCCTCAACTTCTCCTTCATCCCCGTCCTGTACCTGTACTTCCCCGAGACCCGCAACCTCACCCTGGAGGAGATGGACCAGATCTTCACGCAGGGCATGTCGCCCGTCAAGGCCGCCGAGAGGCTGCGTGCGGAAAAGGACCGTCGCGCGCAGGAGGGGGGGAGTCCCGACACGTCGGTGGTGGAGGTGCACCTCGCAAACCCGGAGAAAGAATGAGGTAACCCCCAGGCATCTGGTCTGGAACCAACCGTCGAGTGGAGGAACTGGAGCCGTCGGTGCGGATGGGAAAGGTGCCTGGACCTAGATGTAGGAATGCGCAATAAAGTGCTGGCCAGCGACATATCTCGTGAGTTGGTCCGGTTGAAGGGGTTGGATGCAGCCGAGACCGTTTTCCACTCCTGGATTGCGTCTCCTTTAACCCCTTTGACACGTCTTACGTACTCCTGGCTGTTATTCGGGGCTTCCTGAATAGATAAACATGGGAAGATATTGAAGCCAGGCCGCCCTAAGCTTCGCTCTTGACCTTATACAATCCGATTGCTTTTGTCTGCCTGGATGGCTGGCTGGTCTTCCAAGTACGAAAGTCCTAAAGCCTGGGATATGTGTGAATTATCCAGGGTCCGGAAAATAATGCTTTCGCCATGAGGGTGAGTCCTCTTGTTCGAGCACATTCACACCAGGCAATCTACCTCAACGCCCAAAAGGGTCGGAGAGTCTCAGGCCATATTTGTGTAGCGAAGTGATGCCGCCCTGTCGAAACTAAGGTCCATGCAGCTAGAGCAAACCCCTTACGCACGAAGCTAGTTGGCGATATATTCGGGAAATCCACTCCTCAACCCCACGGTGAGGCCGGCGCTGATTATATTGGCCACTGCAGCATCAACATATCTACGCAGCTCAGTGCGGTGATCTAATATGCGAAGATGTGGGAGTTGTTCCACGAGCGAGAGGGATCGACCGAGCGATACCCACCGCAGAACAAGTGCCACAAGCTGAATTGCGAGCAGGATTTGGGGGGTTTTCTGACATTGGATCGCCGAGCATGCCGGGGGATTGCAAATGGCAGGATAGATGGCAAGATAGACGATACACACAATGTATCTTGTATCGATATCCTCTCCCCCATGGCTGAAGCTCCGAGACCTTTTGTTGATCCAATCTTCTCCCCCATTCCTCCTTTGTCACACCGCGACCATCTAGTCAAGGTCGATTTCATGCTTAGGGACGACATCAATGGTGTCTTCGGTGTGACTCGTCCCTCCTTTTGACAGCCTCTCGTTCTCGAGCTCGGCGATCCTGCGGCCGGCGCCGTGTGTTTCCGTGGCGGCGAACTTGCGCGCCGGGACGTGGTTGTGGAAGAGCTCGTCGAGTTCCTCGAGACTCCGGTGCTATGTGGCGAAAGAGAAATTCATCAGCCATGTGCGTCACGTCAAGAGGGGGAATCAGAAGGGTCGTAGGCTCACCGCTATCTCCGGCACTCTGAAATACGCATAAAAGGTGGCGACGACGCTGATCCCGCCAAAGAGCCAGCCGATATTGACGCCGATGTCGTTCAGCAAGTACGGGACACAGAACGCCACGAGCCAAGCGGCCACCACACTAGAAACAACGTACGGATTAGCTGAAGACTCTCGCTCGGTTCATCGTCAGAGAGAAGCTGAAGACGTACTTGATGGTGCTGCTGAATGCCATTGTCTTTTCTCGGAGCGCCCCGGTGCCGATCTCAGATGCGATCTGCGCGAGAACGACACGTTAGTGAAAGATCATATCGGTTCCAGGCCGGGGATATCGAGAACGTACCACATAAGCCAGGGGTGCCCAGGTGCTGCGTGACGGACGGATTAGCGATTACGGACCCTGACAAGCTGCACACCACTTACCCCGAGAAGAAGAAGTTGAACAACATCACACAAGCGACGAGGCC